TGAAAAAAATCCGGAAAAATTTCCATGTAAGAAAGGCGTTATGATGCCGTGGCCTAGGTTTCTCACTGCGCGGGAATTCAAATCCTATTTTTTTTTCAACGCAGTTTTTCGGGGATTTAGGATTTTTTTTTGAATTTTTTCGCAATAATATTATGAAAATACATATTTTTGAAACATTTAAGGTAATACAAATTTTTGGTCGGAGTCCCCCCTTTAAAAAAGTGAGAGACTAACAGTAGACTAGGTTTTAAGGGTTTAGAATAGATTCTAGGGGGAAGAAAAGGGTGATTTTGAATATCTGACAATACCGAAATTTCCAGATTATGGCTTCTCATATTCCTCGACCCAAACGCTGAGATATCTATCGTTGTCCGTCAAAGTTACGGCCATTTCATCTCCGCTTTCTCTGGTGAAAACCCTTCTTGTCCATTGGTGACATTTGTGATTCTGGAAATGAAGAAATTCGGCTTTTCAGTGGTCCAAAACTTTTATAAATTTGCTTAGATTTAGCGGAAAAACTGACGAAAATGCTCCTAAAGTTTCGAGCGTTAAAGGGACATGTAATACATGTAGTAACAAACAATAAGGGCCCCCATATCAAGGAAGGGGAACTTTGAGCTATTATATCTAGGCTTCTGTAAAAGATATCAAAAATTGATTAATTGATAAATTGTTCATCATAAAATAAGCAATATTCCTTCAGTTGATCATTTTTTGATACCTCTCACAGGAGCCGAGATAATTAGGCGCAAATTTAATGGTCAGATAAACCGTATTTGCTCCACTAGAAGCTCACTCGATATGTGCACTTTGATTCAATTATCTCGACTGTCATAAGAGATATCAAAAAATGATCAACTGATAAAATATTTATCATAAAATAAACAATGTTTTGTTAGTTGACTATTTTTTAATACCTCTTACAGTAACCGAGATAAGTTAGGTCAAAGTTAATAACCCAAAAAACTGTGCAACTTATCTCTTACATTAGAGGTCCCACGGCTCTTAATGTTCTAAAAAAGAGATATCTTATCCTTATCAATAAACGCTCAAAATTTCAAGTTTCTAGCTTATCTGGGAAGGGAGATACAATCATTTGAAGTTTTAGCAGAGACGCAGACAGTTAGAGTGTCTCGTTGTCTGCGTCCTCTCTCTTTTCTCTTTGCTGTCTCGCTGTCATAAACTTCAAAAGCCTATATCTCGGGTTCTAGACAAGCTAGAACAATGAAATTTGAACTGTTTTGTGTAGTTTTTGATGTTTTTTTTTGTTGAAACATTAAAATTTCAGTTTTAATTTTGAAATTGGAAGATTTAGCCTGCTTTTTCCTTACTAACTAAAAGTGTTTAAAAGTCTGCACAAAATGGTCAAAGTTTCATGTTTCTAATACGTCTGGAAGCCGAGATATAGACGTTTGGAGTTTTGGAGAGAGCAGACAGCTAGAGTGACTCGTTGTTTGCGCTCTCCTCCTTCACCATAGTCTCTGGTCGCTTAAACTTTAACCGACCGTATCTCGGGTTCTAGAAGAGCTAATTTGGAGCGTTTTGTGTGGTTCTTGCTATATTTTCAGATGTTTACATATTTCAAGTTTTGAAAATAAATTCTGTACCAGAAACTAGGTCCGTTGAACTGTAGAGTTTCCCCTGGGACATAGTTTAGACTAGTCGAACTAGCCTAGCCTAGTTTAGAATCTCCAGACTTGATACTAGCATAAATAACGCCCCATAACTTACGCATTGGGGTTAACCAGTCCCTTGACGACCTCTTTCAAATCCAACGTATACCCATTCGTCATTTGCACCAACAGATGCATCAGAACTGGATAGTTTCCCTTCTTCCAAGCCGTCAAATACGCGTTGATGTCCGCAGCGGTGAGTCGCGAATCCTTCAGAGCAATCGCCGTGCAGTTCAGTGCCATAAGATGCTTTCCAGTGATAAAGTGAGAGTGATGCAAGTGGAACATAAGCATGGTCAATGGCTTTTTCAAGAAATTGACTGGCTGGAAGCCCTGCTTCACATTGATCATACTAACGAATGTTCCGGTGGTGTTAATGGGACCGACGCCAGGGATGGTCTCCAAGAACTTGTCTGTGTAAATGCGCTCGCCGACAGCGTCGAGGGGTTCCTCAGGGGACCCATTGATGTTGAAAGTCTCATACTTCAAATTGGAATTCTGAATCCAATCGATAACCTCCATAGCTGGAGTCTCCAATCCAATGAAGACCTGAGCAAAGACATCGACACCAAGAGTCTTCATAAAGTGGTCAGCAATCTTTTGAAGGGCAACAATCTTCTCTCCTTCCTCACAGTAGGTATGGTACTCCTTCAGAGCGTTGACTTTATACTCAATAGCAGATTCTCCAAATGTTTTGAGCTCCAACGAATCGTCTGGGTGCGGGTCGGTTTTGGTTTTCTCATTGATTGTGTAGCGACGAACGTTGTGGATCTCTAACCAGGCTTGGGAGAAGTCGACGACCACTTTGAAGTATTTCTGGCCTTTGGCGCCTTTTCTGAGAACCTTCGACGCGTTTTTGGAGCATTGGTAGAGCTCGAATCTGGAAAAGTAGAGGAGTTATAAGTTGAGATTTCTAGGTCACCAGCTTTTTTGGCCTAGAAAAGGCCTGATATTCATCTGGTGTGCATTCTAGGTAAGTTTAACGCGGTGGCCTAGCTTGTTCAAGTTGGGATTTCTAGGCCACCATTCTTTTTCGCCCCTAGAAATGGCCTAGGATAACCCTGGTGTGTTTTCTGGACCATTTTCATGTGGTGGCCTAGAAAACGCGATTTGCAAAAGTTAGGCCATCACGAACAATCCCCTAGAAAACAAATCAGGTGATTATGAGAACAATTCTAGACTGTCATAACCTCTATAACCTGGTGGCCTAGGGAGATTTCAAGGCCACCACCAATTTTGGCCTAGAAAAGGCCTGATATTTATCTGGTGTCTTTTTCTAGGTGATTTTAACGCGGTGGCCTAACTTTTGCAAGATGGGAATTCTAGGCCACCAACTCTTTTTGCCTAGAGATGGCCTAACGTGCCCCTGGTGTGCTTCCTAGGTCATTCTAACATAGTGGCCTAGAAAACCCAACATGCAAATGTTAGGCCACCACGTTAAAACCACCTAAAAAACACACCCGATAAATATCAGGCCGTTTCTGGGCCAAAAAAAGGTGGTGGCCTAGAAAACTCAAATTGCAAAAGTTAGGACACCATGTAAAAATGAATTAGTTTCGAAATATTTTAGGGAATAAACTTACGCATCAGCAGAAGACACATTTTCCAGAACTTCTTGGAGCACGAGCTCGGGAAGGGACAGCAATGGGAATCTGTGCATTGTAGAGAGGGGGAGGATCGGAAAAAGACCAGCAAAAATCGATAGTACTCAAGAGTCACCAATTGTGACGATGAATCGAATGCAGAATGAATGGAGACGGGGATGTTCGGTCCTGAGAAGGCCAGGTGAGGGGCAGGACTTGCCAAGCGCCGCCCCCTTGGCGCACCTCATGTGTCTGCGTCTCTCTCCGTCTACCTGCCTGCCCATCCATGATGACCTTGAAGAGCAGATGGACATAATGGGCAATTAGAGAAGACAGGAGACAAATGGGAATGGGAAGATCTTTGGGAAGACAGATTTCTAGGGCAATGGATGTGCTTTTCAGCTGCCTCAGCTAAGCCAGGATGTCCCAGGGAATCTAAAAACTATAAATTTTTCAATAAGGTTATTTTTCAACAAAAAATACATTAAAAACTACACAAAACGGTCCAAATTTCATCATTCTAGCTTGTCTAGAACCCGAGATATAGGCTTTTGAAATTTGGTGCCGAGACAGTGGGCCACTAGAGAGTGTGGGGAAGTGAGAGAGCGTAGACAACGAGACACTCTAACTTCCTGGGTCTCTTCAAAACTTTAATCACCATATCTCAGCTCGCAGTTGAGCTAGAAACACGAAACTTTTGAACTCAATAAAAAATTTGATTCGCAAACGGATCCGTTTGGTCATGATTCGCAATCGGATCGGATACGGAGCTCGCGAACGGACAGGATACGGATCAATCCGAATAATGTACTGCTATTTACTAAAAACGGTTCGCGTACGGTCCGTATGCGGTTCCTATTTCAACCGCGCGCGAACGCGGAGCGTCCGTAACGGATTGTTCGCGAATCACCTGTGCTTAGGAAAAATCAGCATAAATTATTTGAACTTGAGACTTGAACGTAAAATGTCTTTTAATTAACAGAAAGTACATCAAAAACTACACAAAACGGTCCAAATTTCAATATTCTAGCTCGTCTAGAACCCGAGATATAGGCTTTTGAAATTTGGCACCGAGACAGTGCGGGCAGATAAGAGAGCGCAGACAACGAGACGCTCTAACTGTCTGCGTCTCTCCAAAAATGAAAAACGCTTTATCTCTGTTCCCAGAGATGCTAAAACAGTGAAACTTGGACTGTTTTGCGTCATTTTTCACACAGATTGAAAATTGCAAAGATTCCAAAATTTTTTTAGAATTCGAAGATCTAAATTTGCTACCGTATCTCGCTTAGTTTCTGTTCAATTACTATGAATTTTGTATTTTTGAATTTATCAAAAAAAGAGCTTCGAAATGAGTATAATCATGCCAAGATTACAATATATTAGTTTAAAGGTGCATAGCACCCGACTGAATTTTCAAAAAATAGGTCATGCTCATACTCATTTTGAAGCTCTCAAAAAGCCAAATTCCAAAATCAAATTTTCCAAAGATGCAGATCAAAAGTATATGAGTTACGGTAGTTTAAGCGTTTCTTTAAAATTTCAAACAGCTGTATCTTGGCTTCCAGATAAGCTAGAAACTTGATTTTTGGACCAAAATGTGAATTAGCTGTTCAGTCAGCTACACTACTGTATCTCGGGACTCAGTGAACTCCATAATTTAAAATTTTCGCATTTCACTTCCCAGAATAACATCTTTATTTGGTGAAATTTTCAACGCTTTTGGAGCACTGAAAAGTTCTCTACGACCTCTGAGAAATAGTTGCTAACAGCGTCATGGCTAAAAACGCTATATCTCAATTCCACAAACGAGCCGTAAGACCTCCATGAGCTAAGTTCCATGTAAGAGACCTTCCCAGAAGCAAATTCACCAAGATTCTCAGTCAAACAATGTCAACCGAGTAGCTCTTGCTCAATTAGCACATCAGATAGCCCACTAGAACAATGGAAATCTGTCATTCTGTCCGTAGAACTAGAACCAGTTAAGGATTAGGGGGCTGTGGGTGCTCCAGGGAAGACGACGACCCGTCCTTCATTTGTATTCACAGGTTCTGTAGATAGCATCCAACCAACGATGTGGTCTTCTTCTGAATCTGAAACTTCTGATGATGAGGAGTCCGTCCTAGAAATTGATCCATTTCTATTCGTTCGTTTGCCAATTGTACTCATCAAAGAAAGTCTCAAAAATATGGAAATCGAGGAGTTGTGAGTCCTTTTTTGCTTTGCAAACTTTGAGCTGATTTATCTCGGTTTCTGTAAAAGATACCAGAAAATTGTCAACTGATAAAATGTTTATCACAATATCACCAATATTTTATTAGTTAACAAATTTTTCATATCTCTCACAGGAACCAAGATACGTCACTTCAAAGTGACCAAAGACGCCTCGGCGTTTGGTTTCTTTCAGCTCAATTATCTCAGTTCCCATGAAAGATATCAACATTTTGACAACTAATAAAACGTTTATCACATTATCAGCAAGATTTTATCAGTTGACATATTTTCCATATTTCTTATAGCAACTGAGATAATTGAGCTCAAAGCGCGCCTGGCAACTAGAACCGCGTAGCTCAGACGGTTTTTGCCTTTGTTCATAGACAAGATACAGTTCTCTGAATAGTATCACGTGTATTACATTCCCTCAATGTTTCAGACTTCCTCAACTTCCAAGAACATGAGAAATGTCACAAGTCAACATCTTCGAAACTAGAATCTCCACCTAAATATCATTGGTCTCCATTGGGGCGCCGGCACGATAGGCTCTACAGAAGGACTCATTATTCGAAATTCGAGTAGAACATCGAACTAAATTGTGGGGAGTATGGAAGAACAAATTAATCAGAGAGACTTATTGGAATTTCGGTCAAGAAACAGTCAATGTGAAGTTCCATGAAAACCATATTCTCTCAAACGAAATGGAGCCAATCGTTTCCTTCTTTTTAACTTTCGCCGCCAGCTGCTATATCGAAAACAAAGCAGCAGCCGACTCGCTTTTCATGGATCCCATTCTTCGAGCAGTCCAATATTTTCCGCTACAAAAATGCTCACCTCTGAAGAGTTGAATGGACTGGTGAACGTTTGTGAAGGTCAAATTGAACGTGTTTCAATGGTTCAAGCAAGTATTTGAACGCGTTTTTGAAACGATGGATGCGTCAAACAACTCCGTTTTATAAGTTATGTATTTTTTGAGAAACGGAATCCGGAATACGGAATAAAGTAATTTTCTCGGAATCCGGAATACGGAATCCGGAATTTTGTGTTCTCCAAATGGGCAGAAAAGTTCTGAAAACACACATCGTGCTTTATTTTTGCATTTTTAATAGCGGAAGTTCAAAAAGTCAGAGAATTCTTGAAAATAACAAATATGTTTAAAATCCGGTATAAAATAATTTTCTCGGAATCCGGAATCCGGACATCTTTGGTTTGCTGTCAACATTGAACAACTACAAAAGTGGTCCAGAATCTTCTGATTTGTTTGAAATTTTTTGATTATACTAAACAGAAATAGAGCTTTAATTTTGTAGTTAACCACTTTTTTGTAAGAATTTGTCTAAGCGAGATATAGAGCGTTTTTGGTCCTACCCCTTTATAGCACTTTACGCGCCCTTTGAGCTTCATTATCTCGGTTCCTTTAAAAGTTATCTAAAAATTGTCAACTAATAAAATATTACTGATAATTTGATAAGCATTTTATCAGTTGACAAATTTCTAACATCTCTCATAGGAACCGAGATAATTGAGCTCAAAGTAAACAAGCTTCCTTGCCGCCCCATCTCCTAAAGGGGAGAGAGGGACGCCAAGGAAGCTTAGCTACTTTGAGACCAATTATCTCGGCTCCTTCAAAAGATATCAAAAATTAGTCAACTAATAAAGTGTTTATCATAATATCACCAATATTTTATCAGTTAACAAATTTGTGATACCTCTTATAGAAATCGAGTTAATTAAGCTTTAAAAAGTGTGCTTCTATTAGTGCAATTACGGTATTTTGCAGTCAACTTTGAATGGCTACAAAAATGTTTCAGAATTTTCCGATTTTTGTGAAATTTTCAGAAAATATGTAACAAAACTAGAGCTACAATTTTGTAGTTGACAAATTTTTTGTAGCAATACATCCAAGCAAGATATGGCTTGTTTTTCAGGCTTCCCCCACACAAAGTCCCAAGGTTCGAAATGACGAGAGATGACAGTTTGACGGTTGTAGTCCACAATAATGAGCACTCATTCGAAATGGTCAATAAGGAGAGAATTGAAATATTTGAACACTTTTTAAATTTTTTTAAATTCAATAAAGTTCTTCTTCAATAGAGCGCGTTTGTATTACAAATCCAGTGAAACCTTATTTTATCCCCCGTGTCCTAGTGTGTCTTCTTTTTCCTTCTTTCCCATGGACGTCACCTGGTCCACACCTCCATTTCCCACCTGACGGCGTCTGTTTTCAGACAACAGAAGGTCCTTAGCACCGCCCGTCTTCTCATTGCTCATATTCTTCTGTCTGTGCACCTCATTTTCTCTTGCGGAAAATCAATAATTTTCTTTTTATTATGATCTAGAGATGTGCAATTTGACCCTATTTTTCAAATCCTCAAAAAAATTAGAGTGCAATTTCGCTCTTTTGAGAATTCCTTCCTATTTTCAAATGAACTATCATTTTTCGGGGTCTCAAACTATCTTTTTGGACCTAAAAAAATCTGCAGAACCCAAATTTTAAGTTAATACCTTCAAAAAACCACTGTAAACCTGTTTTTCAAGCCCTTTTCTCATTGGAGCGCACTTGCAACTCTTTCAGTTTTCTAGCTTGATTTTCGCCGCTTTTTCGTCATAATTTCAAGTTTTAAGTGCTCCTAATCGATTTGTCACAAAATTCTCCACCAGAAACTCTGAAAAAATTCCGGAAAACACCGCCAGAACCCCGCTTTTCTTGAAATTCCACAACTAGACGAGAAAGTGCGCGACTAGTGTATAAACCGAAGAGACGCAGACATTCGCGCGCGCGTTTTCGAACATTTCAAACGGCGCGACGTACTTTTTGAGTGCGCGATTTCTTGCCATTTCTTCGCCTATTTTTGTCATTTTTCGGCATTTTTTCGAATTTTTAGCTGGAAATAGGTTATTTATATTGATTTTTCATAGAATTTCAGTGAAAAATTGTGTAAATCCCGTTAAAAATGGGCGAAAATTGAGGGAAATCGGGATTAATCGGTTTTTGTCGTTTTTTAAGCGATTTTTCGAGTTTTTCGTCAGAAATCTGATGAAAGAAGACGATTTGTCATGTAGAAAAAGCGGAAATGTTGCGTTTTTCGAAAAAAAAAATTTTCCGGAAAATTGAAATTTTTGGCAAAGTCATAGATTTTCAGCTTAATTTCAGGATCATTAGTAATTTAAAAGATCCCGAAAGTCATCAAAAAATTCAAAAAAATCGCTCAAGATTCAAATTTGCACAAATTTTCATTTTTTTGAACTTTGGCCAGAAATTGGTTAGAATCTACCGATTTCTATTGATTTTTTAGCGAGTTTGAACCATTTTTCGGGCTAGAATCGCCGAAAAATCGAGCCTGAACAGCTAAAATCGCTCAAAAATTTGAGAATCTCGATTTTTTGAAATTTTTGATTTTCCAACATTTTTAAAAGTATTTAAGTCTATTACGACCTATTTTCAGCCGATTTTCATGCTGATTTCAGTGGTTTTTCAGAGAAAATTAGCTTAAATTTTTCAAAAACGTCTACATTCCGAAAAATCTGATTTCTAGCTAAAATAAACCAGTTTGGGCTGAAATAGGCCAGAATCAATCGATTTCTAGTGATTTTTCGTTGATTTTGACACCGATTTTTCACAAAAAAAAATCGCAAAATTTACTCCGAAATTCCCCATTTTCAGTGGAATTGGACCAATTTCCCACCATTTTTACCCTTCCAAACCATGTTTTTCACTGTTTTCTCCCCAATTTTTACCCAAAAACCCCCCAATTTTTTCCAGAAGCCAACTAAAACTAGCTGCTCCATATCACCACCAAACCGGAGCCCCAAGAACAATGTCCCGAGACGCGTCTGACACCATTTTCATCGGCAATCTGCCAGGAGACGTTCGTGAGAAGGAGCTGGACAGTCTGTTCTCGAAGTACGGTAGAATCAACAAGGTCGACGTCAAGTCCGGACGTGGTGGCGCCGCTTTCGGCTTCGTCCAGTTCAGCGATTCGAGGTAAGGAAGGTGGCCAGGAAGCTTGAAAATAAGCGGAAAATTGGTCAAAATCCGTTCAGAATGACCCCTTTTTGACTGATTTAGGCAGTTTCGGCTGATTTTAAGCAAAGATGGGGGCAAGTTGGCGCCCGAAAATGACCGTAATTTTGGTAAAAATCGCCTGAATTCGGCCTGAATTGGTCAGGCCTGGCTAAATCGCTCAAATTTGTCTTAAATGGCCCAAATTTGGACTGAATTGCAAAAATTTGGATTTTCTAGCCTGAAATCCGTCTTAAATTGTCTTAAAATTAGGCTAAACGAGCTCAAAATAGGCCTAAGCTAGCCAAAAATTGGCACGAACTTGTCAAAAATGACCCAAACTAGCTCAAATTCGGCATAAATCAGCCCAAAATCGGTGATTAACACTCAAAATTGACCAAAACTAGTCCAAGTTCGGCCTAAATCGCCGAATATTGGTAGATGTTAAGCCCCTAACGCTAAATTCCCTATTTTCAGAGACGCCGACGACGCAGTCCGCGGTCGTGACGGCTACGATTTCGACGGCAAACGAATTCGTGTCGAGCTGACACGTGGATCGGGACCACGCGGTCCGGGCGGCCGACCAGTCCGCGATGGCTACGATCGTGGATACGACCGGCGAGACGACGGATACGGTCGTCGTCAATCGCACGGACCGCCACGTCGCAGTGAGAATCGAGCCATTATTGAGGGATTACCACCAACTGGATCGTGGCAAGACATCAAGGATCATTTGAAGTCGGCTGGTGATATCTGCTACGCGGACGTCGGCCGTAATGGAGATGGAATCGTTGAGTTTGAGAAACATGAGGATATGAAGTACGCGATCAAGAAGTTCGATGACACCAAGTTCACTTCTCATAAGGTACGATTTGGGTGCGGGAAAATGGCTTGAAATTGCCTGGAAATGAGCCAGAAATGGTTCTAAACAGCCCAAAATAGGCTCCAGAGGCCTAAAAGTGGCCTAAATCGCCTAAATTTGACTTGAAGTAGGTCAATTTTAGGCTGGTTTGGGCCAATTTTGACCAATTTTAAGCTATTTTCGTGCTAATTTCGGACAATTTTTGAGCTATTTTTTGTAATTTTGAATCATTTCAGTTCATTTTTGACCAAATTTAAGGGCATTTTTCGAGCTAGTTAATGGCATTTCAGAGCTAGTTTAGCTTGATTTTAGGTCTTTTTAGGCTATTTTAGAGCTATTTTAAGCCAATTTTGAGCTATTCTAGACCAATTTTGAGCTAGTTCATGTCATTTTTTGCAACAGTTTATTTTCGAGCTAGTTTCGACCGGTTTCGAGAGGTTTTAGGCCAATTTTAGGTCATGTTTGAGCTATTTTAAGCTAGTTTGGGTCGATTTTAGACTAGTTGATGCTGGTTTTGAGCTATTTTAGACCATTTTTGAGCTTTTCTAGGCCGATTAAGAGATAGTTTAGGCAATTTTCAGCTAGTTTAGGTTAATTTCAGGCTATCGCAGATCATCTTTGAGCAAATTCAACGATTTCGAGTCATTTAGGTCTGCTTTTCAGCTATTGTAAGCCAATTTTTGACTAGTTTGGGCTAGTTTTAGACTATATTATGTAATTTTAAGCTATTTTTGGTATTTTTTTAGTTTTTTCAGGCCCCTCTTGGACTAGTTTAGTCATATTTTTAGCTGTTTTAGGCTCACTTTGAGCTATTTGAGGCCAATTTTAGGGTAGTTTAGCCTGATTGCAAGCTATTTTAGGCCGAATTTGAGCTTCTTTGCCTGATTTAGGCTATTTTACAGCTAGTTTAGACCGAATTTCAACTGGTTTAGGCCTATTTTGACCTCTTTTCAGGCCAATTTTGGACTACATTCAGGTCATTTTTGAGCTATTTTAGGCACCTTTTCAACCCTAAATTATCGACTTTTGCAGGGTGAAACGGCGTACATTCGCATCAAGGAGGACAAGGGCAACTCCAATTTCGTCTCTCGTCCACCACGTGACAATCGTCGTGGAGGCGGTGGGCGTCGTTCGAGATCTCGTTCCCGCTCTCGTTCCCGCTCACCGATCGCTCGTCGTCGCTCGCCATCTCGCTCTCAATCCCGTTCCTCGTCTCGTGGATCGCGAAAGTCTCGCTCTCGCTCAGCGTCCAAGTCTCCAGTGAAGGCGTCAGCAGGGCGTAGCCGCTCGAATTCGGCCGGTTCGTCACCACCACGACGCGGGGGTCGTAGTCCAAATCGTCGTCGTTCTCCGGTTCCAGATGAGCCACGTCCGACTTCTGGATCGCCGGGAAGATCGAGATCCGGGTCGCCGGCTGGGTCTCGTGGTGGATCTCGCTCCAGATCCCGTTCGCCAGCGTCCAACGCTTCGTCGCCACGTCGTTAATTCTGAATCCGGAGCTTGATGGGGCAGGGTGTAGGCAAATGCGCTCCATTGAACTGTTTTTTTTAAAATCCAAAAACGGCATTTTTAGCCCTGAAATCCCATTTTTAGTCACCCAAACGTTCCAAAAATAAATCCCTAAAAATCAATATTTTAGCTCTAAATTTCCATTGAAATCGATTTTTGAAGTTTTTCCAAACCCCTAAAATCCGTCAAAAACGTCCATTTTAGCCCCAAATCCCCTTATTTATCAATGGAGCGCACTTCCATAATACCCCCACCTATCGTCCATTGCTCATCTTAATGGACCATCTATGGACCATTCATCCCTACCAGTATTTATTTATTTTTTCATTTCCCCATCCAATTTTTAAAAAAAGAATTCCCCATCTGTCAATCTCTGTTGTTTTACTCTTTTTTTTCTGTTCCTCTCCATTTTCCCCCTAATTTTTCGTCATCGCACTTTTTTGAAATTTTTTACACCACTCTGTTGCTCTAAATGGAATTTTCATTGAAAATAAAATAACCTGAAAATAGAAAAAATGTGAGCCGAAATAGTGAAAACTAGAAATTCCTACCTCTTCTGGGAGCCGAGATACAGCTATTTGAAAGCGAGAGACGCAGACGACGAGACACGCTAACTGCCTGCGTCTCTTCAAAATTCCAAATTGCTATATCTCAGCTCTCAGGTGAGCTAGAACGGTGAAATTTGGACTGCTTCGCGCCATTTTTCCCACATTTTCAGATAAAATAATAATTTCTGAAAAGTAAAAATTTTTGAATATTTGAAAACTGAAATTTTTATCGAAAATTGCAGTATCGAAAAATAGAAAAAAATTGAGTCAAAATAGTGAAAAGTAGAAGTTTATAGCTCATCTGAAAGCCGAGATACAGCTTTTTGAAGTTTGAAGGCGAGAGACGCAGACGGCGAGACAATCTAACTGTCTGCGTCTCTTCAAAATTCCAAATTGCTATACCTCAGCTCAAAGGCGTGCTAGAATGGTGAAACTTTGACTGTTTTATGTCATTTTTCCAACTTTTTCAAGCGAATTGATAATTCCTGAAAAAGTGAAACTTTCGAAAAATGTAAAATCGGAATTTCCGGAATGTTGATTTGAAAAGCAAATATTCCGAATATAGAGAAAATTTGAGCTAGAATAGTGAAAACTAGACATTCCTAGGACGTCGGGGAGCCGAGATACAGCTATTTGAATGCGAGAGACGCAGACAACGAGGCACTCTAACTGTCTGCGTCTCTTCAAAAATTCAAATGGCTGTATCTCGGCTCCCAGATGAGCTAGAAATGTGAAACTTTGACTGTTTTGTGTCATTTTTAATACATTTTCAGGTGAAATAATAATGTTTTAAATTTTTCGGAAATTGAAATTTTTTGAATTCCAAGTCAATATCCGAAAAAATCGAGAAAATCAGACCAAAAATAGTGAAAGGTACAAGTTCCTAGGATGTCTGGGAGCTGAGATACAGCTTTTTGAAGTTTTGCAGGGCGAGAGACGCAGACGACGAGACACTCTAACTGCCTGCGTCTCTCGCCTCCAAAACTACAAGCAGCTGTATCTCGGCTCTCAGATCAGCTAGAAATGGGAAACTTGGATAGTTTTGTGGCATTTTTCCCACATTTTCAGATAGGATCATAGTTGCTGAAAATTTAAGAATTCTGAAAATTCAAAACCCCGAAATTTTTTTGAAGATACAAGAAAATGGAGCAAATTTGAGCTAGAATAGTCTATCTGCCAAAATTCAAATGCATGTAACTTGGCTCAAGAAGAAGCTAGAAACTAGATTTTTAAAGTTTCTCGGATTTTATGAAAATTTCCATTTTTTCTGATTATGTGTACTACTGTCTTATTGCTCTCTTCACATCATATCAGTTTTAGTAATGGGATCATAAAACCAGGTGGTATGTGACATGATGATCTGAAGACACCCCAACGTCGAGACGAAAGCTGGCAACACACAGAGCAACCAGGTGAGGGAAGTGGGCGGAGTCTCCCTTGTGATGGTCCTCTTACTCAGTTGTATTCATTATTCTGATGAACTCATTCTCTGTTATTCTAGTCAGTCAACAACCAGACGATTGTATTATTGATTTATCCGCTCCTTAATGATATTCCTGATTTCTAGAACCTTCTAGATTCTATTAAATTTTTTATCCTCCATTTTCCAGAATCTATCATTCACCATGGCTAAGACTAAAGTCACTGCCCCTAGAAACACCAACGTCGAGACGAAAGCTGATATCAAGAAGAAGATTCAATTCCTTGGAGATGAATACGCCACAGCCATCAAGGCTCATCAGAAGGCGTCGGAGGATGTGAAAAGACTCCAACAGCAACAAGAAGCGACGGAGAAGAAGATTCAGCGATTGACGGTACTTCATCAGATGCATCAGAAGCGGAAGATTCAGAAGCCGAAGTCAGTATTTCGAAAAAAGATTCAAGAGAAGCAGGAGGCACTCAAGAAGATTCAGAAGCAATTGAAGAAGGCGTTGAAGGTCGAGGAATCGGCGAACGATGCGATGGAAGAGGCTGAGGCGTGCTGGAAGTTCGAAGCCATGTGTTCAGGAGAAGCTTATCAAGAGGATGGCCAGTGGAAGTGGCGGGAGTGATTTCTGTCTAATCAACTTCAAATACATACTTTCTGATTGTTCACTTCTGATCCCTTTTTTTCTTGTATTTGAAAAAAACACTTGCCGAATTCTGAAGTTTTGTTTGAAAATGTCAAAAATCAACTTTCTATGACTAATACAAGCCAAGATACGACACCCTCTTCAGTTAATTGGTCTTCTAGGCCACTACCTTAGATTGAACATAAATCGCCTAAAAATCAAGATGTTTCGAGTTTGGAAACTGAATTTTGCTGGCATTTTGCCATACTTGCAAAATCAGGGCCCGGGTTCTCCAAATTTTTTGAAAAAAATTAGAAATTTCAGAAATTTTTTCAAATGTTTTTGTGAAAGAACTTTCTTGAAATTTGTTTTTCTTGTCAGGAAAATCGTCCATTTTTTTTGTTGATCCCAAAAAAATTTTCCGAAAATCCGGGCCAAGACGGGCCGGGCCGGGCATTAAAAATTCTGAGAAAAGCCCGGCCCGTTGCAAATATGCATTTTGCAACAATTTATTTCGCTTTTGAAAATCTCAAAAGACCACACGAATGAGTTTAAACTGTGCTCAGTCGCGCCGAAGGCGCACCATCCAGCGGATTATACGATTTTTTTAAATTTCAGATTTGCTCTATCCCAATGCTCTAAACGTTGCAGCGAACTGGTTCCAATTGGTGGTACCAACATGTATCAATTCACGGGGTTGCGACCGGTAACATCCAGCAAACGCGCTTTGTCGCAATCAAGGGGTTGGCACCACGCCAAGTCTCCATTTACTCAAAAGAAGAACTCTCAATTTGCGTTGTGAAATTTCTCTGTGTATCCTCTCCGTGTGGCCACGCAGCGACCGCGTCGCGCGGCGCAACGCGCCTAACAAAAATTTGAAAAAAAATCAGTAATTCGAAAATTCTGAAAATTCAAAAATAGGAGCCTGAGCTACACGTATAGGTGCCTGAGCTACACGGTTGCAGCCGGAACAGAATTTTGAAATTTCGAATTTTTTGAAAATTAAAAATTTTCTAATTTCATATTTTATACAAATCTGGAACTCATAAGATCAATAACTTAACTTTCTGGATTTCTGAACTTCTGAATTTAAAAAATAATTTGAAATTTTGGAAAATTCCAGAATGCACAAAAAACGCCGGAAAACGAATTTCTGAATTTCCAAATTTCCGAATTTCAGAATTTCAGAATTTTCGAAAACCTTGTTGAAATTCGGGAAGAACCTGAAAATTTTTGAATTACGAATTTTTGAAAACTGTTCGATTTTTTTGATTATCAAGAATTTTTGAATTTTCGCACTTTTTAATTTCTCAGATTTCTGTTTGAGTCGAATCAATTTTCGAATTTCCGATTTTTCGAATTTTTGAACTTTCAGAATTTTCGAATTTCTGAATTTCTGCATTTCTGAATTTCCGAATTTCTGCATTTCTGAATTTCTGAATTTCTGAATTTCTGAATTTCTGAATTTTTGAATTTCTGTATTTCTGTATTTCTGAATTTCTGAAATTCTGAATTTCTGAATTTCTGTATTTCTGAATTTCTGAATTTCTGAATTTCCAAATTTCTGAATTTCCGATTTTTATAATTTTCGAATTTTCATAATTTTGAATTTCTGAATTTCCGAATATGGTTCTTTCTAAAACGTATTTATTGCGCCTGTATTTGTCTAGCAATCTGAAAATCTGAAATCCAGAGTAAAATAATAAAATCCCTTAATTTCATTCAAATAAAAAAAGTGATGAGGACGAGAGATTTGATGATTACTTTGGAGCAAAGTATGCCGATGTGGCTCCACCTCCTCCACCGCCGCAACCGCCGCCGGCTCCCATGTACACCGATTGTCCGGGGATTCCACCTCCGCCGCCGCCTGCAAAAAATCGATAAATCAATAAAATTTTTGAAATTTCAACTTTTTAAAAACTCTTGAACTCAATTTCCGAAATATTATAATTTCTTAATGTTCTGAACTTTTCGAATTTAGAATTTCAAATTTTTAAAAAAATTTTCCAAAAATCACAAACCTCCAGATCTGGCTCCACCGCCACCACCACCAGCTGGTGCTCCACCAACACCAAAGTACGCCGATTGAGCTCCACCAGTTCCCATGGCTCCTCCGCTGACTCCAAAGTAGGCCGAAGTGGCTCCACCACCACCGCCACCTCCACATCCACCTCCACTTCCTCCCATCGACGACCCAGATGGCATTGGTGGTGCTGGAGCTCCTCCGAACTGCGGCTGAGATCCTCCGACAGCAGTCATCGTGCTAGATCCTCCCATTGGTGCTCCACCGACAGCAGTCATCGTAGAGGCTCCACGTGGGGCTCCACCGACAGCTGTCATCGTCGAACTTCCTCCCATTGGGGCTCCACCAACAGCAGTCATAGTCGATGCTCCTCTTGGAGCTCCTCCGATAGCAGTTATGGCAGAGGCTCCGCCCACTGCGGTCATCGTGGATCCAGATCCCATCGGAGCTCCTCCAACTGCAGTCATTGTTGAGCCGGATCCCATTGGTGCTCCACCGACAGCGGTCATGGTGGAAGCTCCACGTGGTGCTCCGCCCACTGCCGTCATTGTTGATGAGCCAGAAGCTGGAGCTCCGCCCACTGCGGTAATGGTTGAGGATCCGCCCATTGGGGCTCCGCCGACTGCTGTCATTGTGGATGCTCCTCGTGGTGCACCGCCGACTGCGGTCATCGTTGAGGCTCCACCTCCAGTACCGGCTGCTGGAAAAATCGATTTTTTGGAAACTTTAGAAGGATTTTAAGAAATGTAGCGTTGGCAATCAATTTTTAGCATTACCGAATAAAAAGCGTCGGCGACTCAGCGGCAATCACTTTCAACGCGTCGGAAATTAGTTTTTAGCATCGCCGAGCAGCGGCGATCAGTTATTAACGTCGGAAATCAATATAAAGCGTCGCCGATGCATCGGCGATCAATATTTTTATTTGCAGATCAATTTTTAAGCGTCGGCGATTAGTTCTAAGCGTCGGCAACCCATCGGCGATTAATATAAAGCATCGGATGTCCTATTTTACTGTCGGAAATCAGTTCTTAGCATCGGAAATCAATTTCTAAGCGTCGGCGATCTATCCGCGAGAACTATGAAGCGTCGGCGACCTACCGGCGATCAAAATACAGTGTCGGCGATCATTTTCTAAGCGTCAGCGAGCGATTTTTAGCATCGGCGACTCATCGGCGACCCACTATCAACCCACGAAACTTACGTGGTGTGAAATAAGATCCAGCGCTAGAAGGTGGTGCAATTCCAGCTCCACCTCCACCTCCTCCACATGGTGCAGCTCCGCCTCCAGTTGGTGTCACAGAAAAGTATGCAGATTGTGCTCCACCGCCCCCAGCTGCTCCACCGGCTCCGGCTCCAAGATAACACGAGACTCCTGGCTGTTGTGCTCCGCCACCGCCACCTCCTCCAGTTGATTTTGGTGCTCCACCACCTGGCGGTCCTCCACCGACACCGAAATATGCTGATTGTGCTCCAGCATTACCTCCACCAGCGACTCCGAAATAAGCAGACGTCATTTTCAATGTTTGGCGCTATCGAATATGATATGAGGGTTCTCTCGGAGAAGCGCGCGGCTTATATGCGCCTTTAATTGGGTGAAGGGGGTGCCAGGAAGGGTTCAGAGCTCCACGTTGGAAATTCAAACAAAATTTTCAATCGATAAGTTTAGAATTTCAGTTTAGTTTCCATTTCCTCGATTCTCATTGAAAGTACTCGCTCAGGATATGTTCGGACGTCTGAAGCAGAAGGTCAAAGAGAAGACAGGCCGCGCAAAGGCAACAAGGTATCTCTAAAAAGAGAAAAAAAGAAATTGCCCCGAACCAGGATCGAACTGGTGACCTTTAGATCTTCAGTCTAACGCTCTCCCAACTGAGCTATCGAGGCACACAAGCTAACACTCCTAGATGGTCTATAAGAAACCGCATCTCCTCGTTGTTGCGTCCTCCTTCTTTCTTATACTCTTTCCACTTCTCGCGGCAAGCCGCGCGCGCGTAGTCTAGTGGTCTATGGCGCCGTGCATGATCTGGGGGATGTTGGTTCGACTCCACCCTTCGCCAAGTTCTTTTTAAATTTTTTTGAATTTTTTCAGAACTACCCTTGCGTCTAGCAAACCAAAAAAAAAATTTTCTGCAATAAATTTTTCAGCCTCCCCATCGAAGTCGACGAATCTGTGACATACTTCAAGAATCTGCTGCCACGTGTCAAGGATATTCACAAGCATATGACCGATCTCAGCGATGTGTACAAGTGGCAGAAGAAGGCGAATTTTACGGCCCCGTTGGAAAACTACTCCCGCTTAGGGGACAATATCAATGTGACGCCGTTCATTGAAGCAGTCAACGCGCGGATTTCAGCGGAGACAGATTCAGCGAAAGGGGTACGGTAGGCAGATGAGTTTTTTCTAGGCCACCATTGCCTTCTTCCCGCGTGGTGCCGCCACCCTCCTCCCCTCTTCCAGTGACTTTCCGCGCCCTCCCCCTTTTTTATACGCCCTCCACCCCTCTCTTTCCAAAGCGTCCGCGCGGCCTACCGGTCTATGGCGCCGCGCGCAATCCAGCGCTTTTGGGGGGTTGTTGGTTCGACTTCACCCTTCGTCCATTTTTTTTGCCTTTTTTCGACCCAAAATTCGATATTTCCAGGTCCAAAACGAGTGTGAAAAGTACAAAGCGTATTACCAGAACGATTGCCGCCTGCACCAGGAGAACATTTCCTATCTAAACAAGTCGCGTCTCGATATGGACGGCGCCGCTGATAAGTTTGCCAACGCCGAGACCGACGCCAACAAGATGCGTCTGGATATGGCGACGAAGGAGTTCGAGGCGGCGTGCGGCAGGTACAGTAGTCCAAAATTGTTGAATTAAAAAATGAAAAAAAAATTGTTGCTTTTTTTTGAAAATTTCCAGAATTTTGAATTTTCAGAATGCGCGACCTGGCCGCCCAAATCAAAGAAATCGAATCGAATCACTCTTCGTGGCAGGACACGATCATGAAGGAGATGAAAGTGGCGTTCCGTAAATAGGAGTGGCTCCGCCTACGTTGTCTAGAAAGTTCGAGAAAATAAAGATTTGTATATTTTGTGTATTATTTTAACAACAATAAATTCTAAAAAAGGAAGACTACAAACTACAAAAATTTTTTTGAAAATTAAAAAAAAAATCAAAAAATCAATTAATCGATATTCTGGATCCCTTTGGCGATGGGTCGTCTCGCCAGCTTCTCTGCGTCTCTGCGCTCTCTCGTCTCTCGTTCTCTCTTGTAGACCGTCTCGACGTCGTCGGTTTCCTTCAGAAGTGACACCATTTTTTTCTGAAAAATAAAAAATTTGAAAAAAAATTTTTTTTCGAACTTTTCGAATTCCCGCCGGATCATCAAAAATTAGAAATTTTTTTTTGAAAAAAATTTTTCAAAAAAATTATTTTTTGAAAAATTCGAATTCCCGCCAGATCGAAGATTATCATTGGGGCGAACTAACAGCAAGACGAATCTGATCGAGTTTATAATTGAGCTGCTTTTGAGACGTCACATGAACGGTGCGGCCGTCTTTGAATGAGAAATCGGGCGTTTGCTCGAAGACGTGCTGATGGGGAGCCGTGTATATTCTGAAGTGTCATTTTTAGAAGACGTCGAGGAGATTCAGAATTTTCAGAATTTCAAAAGAAAATTTTTTTTCGAAATTTTAGATATTTTTTGAAAATTTATAAATTTCCGAAATTTTAGATGGTTTTAGGCCAATTCAGGCCAATTAAGGACCAATTTTGAAGCATTTTAGGCTTATTTTAGGCCTGTTTTAGGCCATTTTAGTCCGATTTCAGCAAATTTTCCAACTCACGGTGCTCTCCAACTCTGTACTCGTCCCTTCTTGACCTCCGACGGCTTTCTGGCGACCAACGCCTCCGCTTGATCCGCGATTGGGTCTTCTGAAAGTGAAATTTAGGCATTTAGGCTCCGCCCATTTTTCAAAAAAATATTCGGGATAATTTTAAGCAACTTTTGAGCCAATTTCAGCTATTTATTATCCGAAATACGGAAAAAAATTTCTCGAAAATGAAATTTTTTTTTTTGACATTCAGGCTCCGCCCATTTTCAGGGGGGGGGGGGAAGTCATTTTCAGCCAATTCTGGCCGATTTTAAGGTTCCAAAAACTCACTGAATTCCGGAACCACCGTCGAGAATGAAGCAGTTGGTGCTCCACGGAGCACCGAAATCGGAATTCTGAGCATCTGAAAAATGCGAAAATTCTGGAAAATTCTAGAAATTTCCAGACAAAAACAGATATCAAAAAAGTCGGCGAAAAACTTCAAAGAAACCGATAAAAAATGACCCGAAAAAGTGAAGATTTTCATTAAATTTCAAAATTTGCTAAAAATCAAAAAAATTCAAAAAATTATATGACCCAAAAAGAAGAACGAAAGACTGAAAATATATCAAAATTTACAGACAAAATTTGTTCAAAATTCGAGAAAATTGAAAAATCAATGAAACTGATATTCCGGTTGATTGGCGAGGGCGACTTGTTTCAGCAATTGCGTATGGGTCATTCTGAAAAAAAAAACGTTGAAAATTGGAAATTTTTTTACTCTTTCTAGCTGTAAATCGACTAAAAAAGAAGCAAAAAGGTATTGTGGTCGGGTGGAGTCGAACCAACAAGTCCCGGATTGAAACCGGCGCCCTAGCTAGGAGGAAGGGGAGCGGAGGGCGTCTAAGAAAGAGGGTATGGCGCGGCGCCTCGCGGAGGGGGGAGGCTCGTTGGAAGCGCGCTTATTTCATTCTACAGTACCCCCCTACAGTAATTTCGACTGACTTTTGTAGATTTTTCAATTTTTGCCTTGTTTTAAATGAATTTTCACCCAGTTTTTAGCTATTTCAAACGATTCAAAGCCAGTTTTAAACGATTTTCAGTCAAATTTAAACCCCCTCTCTATCGATTTTTGGACCCATTTTTCCTTCAAAAATGTCTCACCTCGCCTGCGCCAACTCCTTCGCCAACTCTCTCTTCTCCTCATTCGCCTGCTTCTGCTTCGTTTTCGCCTCCACCCATTCCATATTCATCGCCTCAAACTCTCGATGCGCCTTCTCATAGTCCTTCTTCAAATCGCCGTTCGTCTTTTTCAAATGTGTGATTTCCGATTGGATTCGTTTCATCACCTGGGTGTCCTCCATTATTGTCTCCATTTCTTCGGTCGACAATGCGATGTGGGTTCGTTTAAGGACCCGTTTTCCGGCGGTTCCGGGTAGTGGCTCACATGTGTATTGCTGGAAAAATACTTTTTACATTAGTTTTAGACCTGGAAATTGTCGAAAAAATGCTGCAAAAAGATTTTGCCGCCGGGTGGAGTCGAACCAACAACCCCCAAAAGCAGTGGAGTAGGAACGGCGCCATAGACCACTAGGCGACGAGGGCGTTCAGAGAAAGTGGAGCGGAGGGCGTATAAGAAAGGGGGTGGGCGCGGAGAGTTGCGGCGCCACGTGGGGAGAAACGAAGCGCGCGCGAATTTCATTCTACAGTACCCTCTACCATGTTTTTGATTTAGAAACCGGAATTTTTGGGGTCAAGAAGCTATAAAACAGAAGCAAAAAGATTTTGTCGCCGGGTGGAGTCGAACCAACAAGTCCCGAAAGCTGTTTGATTGTAACCGGCGCCCAAGCCCACTAGACCACACAGGCGCTTTGTGAAAAGGTGAGCGGAGGGCATATAAGAAGGTGGGTGGGCGCGGGAAGCCGTGGCGCCGCGCGGGGAGGAACCTCCGAGGATGGCGGAGTGCCTACAGTACCCCCTACAGTAACCCCGCCTACCGTTTGAAACGTGACAGGACTGTAGACGGGTTGCTGCTGATGGTGTTGTCCAATTCCGTGCGTTTTTCGTATATAGTACGTATTCTGGGGATTCTGAATGCGTCCACTTCTGAATTCTCCTCGTTGATGGGCTTGGAACGGGGTGGAAGGGCCTGGAGGACCAGAAGACGTCGATGGAATATCAGAAGATGTTAAAACGGATTCTGAAGACGTTGATGGTCCCGTCGTGTAGCTCACAATGTCTTCGGAATCGTCTAGAAAGGGGCCGGAGTCGTCGATTTGGTGCAGTTGGGATGTGTCCTGGAATATGAGGATTTTAAGGCTGAGCAATGATTTTCAGCACAATTTTAGCCAATTTTGGATCATTTTAGGCCGATTCAGAGCTGTTTTGGGCCATTTTTAAGCCAATTTTGAGCGGCTTAGGTGCCAATTTTAAGCCAGATTTGAATCATTTTGGATCATTTTGAGCAAACTTTGGACTAGTTTAGCCCTAATTTAGACCATTTTGGACCATTTTCGGCCATTTTGGACCATTTTAAGTCGATTTTACGTCGATTCAGGCCAAAATTTCGGTCCATTTTCAGCGCGTTCTGAACCATTTCGGATCATTTATCAGGCGGTTTCAGACCTGTTTTAAGCCAAATTACTCATATTTTAGGATGATTTTCACCCAACTTTGGGATATTTTAGGCCAATTCGGGCCTATTTTGGACGATTTCTGACCAATTACAGCCTATTTCAGACCAATTTTAACGGATTTTCAACCAATTTCGGCCTATTTTCGGACCACTTTGGGCCTATTTTAAGGCATTTTTGGTCCGATTTAAGTTGATTTTACGTCGATTCAGGTCAATTTCGGTCCATTTCAGGCCGGTTTTTTGCTTATTTTAGCCATATTTTCACCAAGGTTGATTTTGGACCATTTTTAGCTAATTTAAAGCCATTTTCGACAATTTTCATCCACTCTTAGCTATTTTCGGGCTATTTTAAAGCCAATTTTGAGCGGCTTAGGTCAATTTTAAGCCACATTTGAGAATCGTTTTGAATCATTTTCAGCCAATTTCGGTCTAGTTTAGCCCTATTTCAGATCATTTTGGACCATTTGGGGGCCTATTTTAGACATTTTGGGACGATTTGGACCATTCTAAGTCGATTTTACATCGATTCAGGTCAATTTTGGACCAGTTCAGGCCGATTTAGACCTATTTTAGGCCAAATTACTCATATTTTAGGATGATTTTCACCCAACTTTGGGATATTTCAGGCCAATTCGGGCCTATTTTGGACGATTTCTGACCAATTTCAGCCTATTTCAGACAATTTTCAGCCTTTTTAGACCAATTTCAGCCTATTTTCGACCATTTGGGGGCCTATTTTAGACATTTTTGGGACGATTTGGACCATTCTAAGTCGATTTTACGTCGATTCAGGTCAATTTTGGACCAGTTCAGGCCAATTTCGGTCCATTTTCAGCTTGTTCTGAACCATTTTGGATCATTTTAGGCCGATTTAGACCTATTTTAGGCCAAATCAGTCATATTTTAGGACGATCTTCGCCTAATTTTGAAATATTTTAGGCCGATTCGGGCCAATTTCAGCCCTTTTCGCTCACCTCATCATACAAATACACATTGTTCGGATCCATATCATCCACAACCACTTCTTCTTCTTCTTCCTCCTCATACTGATAATGATGACGGTGATTATGGTGATTATGGGAAGGGTTATAATAACCAGATGGTCCTGGGACGTCTGAAAATTCAAATTTCGACTTTTTCCGGATTTTTAGCAGAAAAATTCGGAAATTGGCTCATTTTCAGCCATTTTCAACCATGTTTAGGTCATTTCAAGTCGTTTTCGGCTCATTTTTGGCCAATTTCTGCCATTTTTTTGCTCATTTTCAGCCATTTTTGACTCATTTCGAGTCATTTTTGAGCTTTTTCAGGCATTTCTGGGTCAATTTAAGCCATTTTTAGCTCATTTTCAGGTCATTTTCAGTCATTTTTCAGTTATTTCGGCTCATTTTTAGCCATTTTTGGCTCTTTTTAAGCCAATTCCTGCCCTTTTTTGGCTCATTTTTAGCCATTTTTAGCTCATTTTAGGTCATTTTCAGCCATTTCTGGGTCATGTTCAGCCGTTTTCAGTCAATTTCCAGCTAAAAATCACCGGGAAAAAGCCTAAAATAGTCTATTGGTCTAATTTCAGCCATTTTCAGCGCCACAAACCTTCGTCTGCATAACTCAAATGACTGGTTGTCTGAATCTCTTCATATCCCACAATCTCTTCCTCCTCGTCGAATGTGTCAATTTCAACTTCACACTCAACGACTTGCTCATCAAATGTTATCAGCTCTGGCGGCTCCTGATATGCCATATCTGTAAAAATTGGGAATTTTAGAGAATTTTAGGGTCGAAAATCCTGAAAAATGGCTCAAAATTCCAGAAACTTGGCTCAAAATCCATGAAAAATGGCTCAAAAATCATGAAAAACGACTCGAAATCCATGAAAAATGACTCGAAATCCATGAAAAATGGCTGACAAATTCGGAAAAATGACTCATTTGTCATGAAAATTGAGCCAAAAATCATGAAAAATGGCTCAAAATCGTCGAGAATCGTCAAAAAAAGGTATAAAAATCATCAAAAATAACCCAAAAATCGGCCAAAAAACCGCTAAAAATCCGCAAAAACTTCTAAAATTTTAGGGTTTCAATCCCTTTATTAATTGGAAAATGGGTGTGAATTTTTTCTCAAAAAAAAATAAAAAAGAGATACAGTAAGAAATAAATAAAAACAGGGAGAGGGGTGATGAAAACACGCTCTATTGATAATGGAGCAAAAAAGCAAAAATTGCTCATTTTTAGGTGAAAAATATGGGATTTTAAGGAGAGGAAAACGCATTTCAGACGGTTTCGGGATCAGAACATCGATAAAAAGTACAGGAAATTGGCAAAAAACAGTTTTAATTCCACATTTTGATCAGTCCATCCCATCCGGCTGTTATCATTCGACTCTTCTCATGAGGATGCCAGAGCGCGGCGATACACGTGTTCTCATGGGCTTTCCATCTGAAAAATAGGCAAATTTAGAGCATTTTGGAGCATTTTAGATCGATTTTGGACAATTTTCGGGTTATTTGAAGCAAAATTCAGTCATTTTAAGCCAATTTTAAGCTTTTTAAGCCAATTTTTGAGCGTTTTTCGACTAGAATAGGTGGATGTTAAGCCTATTTAAGACCTATTTTCAGCTAATTGTGGACTATTTCAGGCCTGTTTTAGGCTTATTTTAGCCATATTTTGATAAATTTTAGGTTGATTTTTTGGACCATTTTAGATCAATTTTAGGCAATATTGGACGGCTTCAAGCAAGTTTTGTATCATTTTTTGACAATTTTTAGGCAATTTTCAGATGAGTTAAAGCCATTTTAGTCAATTTTAAGCTATTTTTAAGCCAATTTCGAGTCACTTTAGGCCGGTTTCGAGTCATTTTTGGTCTACTTTGGGTCATTTTAAGCCTATTTCGAGTCATTTTGAAACTATTCTAAGATCATTTTAGGACTTTTTCACGTCCTTTTTGGCTTATTTTGAGTCATCTGAAGCCTATTTTGCGTCAATTTGGCTAATTTTCAGGCCCGAATCTCAGAATCTCAGAATTTCGGAATCTCAGAATCTCAAAATTACTGAATTTCAGCATCTCAAAATTTTGCGAAATTCGAAAATTAGAATTTCTAAGAATTTCCGATTTCCAGAATCTCAGAATCTCAGAATTTCGGAATCTCAAAAATTTGAAAATAAGAATTTTCATAATTTCAGATTTCCAGAATCTCAGAATCTTGGAATCTCAGACGCTTGGAACCTCAGAATCTCAAAATGTCAGAATTCTGAAACTTCAGAATCTCGGAATCTTCGAATCCTAGAATCTCCAAATTTCAGAATTCTTCGAATTTCAGAAGATCCATTTTTTAGCCGTTTTCAGCCATTTTCAGCCAAATTTCCATGAATTTTCAGCCAAATTTCCATGAATTTTCAGCCAATTTCCGCCCCCCCCCCTTTGAAATTTCACTCACTTCCCAACAATTTTATGTGTTCTCCAGTCCCAAATGAACAATTTTCCATCGGCATCTCCAGAAATCAGGAACGATTGATCCGGCGAAAAATCGATATTGCATGCGTATCCGGCGGCATTGTGTCCCCGGAACGCCTTCTTTTTCGAGAATCTCAGCTTATCGTCGACCAGCTGGAATAGGACTATACGGTTGTCCATGCACTGTCCAACGACCCATTTGTCTGAAAAAATCGGGATTTTAGGATCGTTTTGAGCCATTTTAGGCCAAATTTGGGTCATTTTAAGTCAAATTTAGACCATTATGAGCCTACTTTTGGACAATTCAAGCCTAATTTGGACCAATTTCAGACAATTTTTGGATCATTTTAGGCTTAATTTCGGTCATTTTAAACCTTTTTTAGCTTCATTTCTGACCAAATTTAAACTATTTCAGTCAATTTCGGGCCATTTTCAACTGATTTTGGGCCTATTTCGGGCCATTTTGAGCCATTTTGGACCATATTAAGCCTGAATTGAAGAGATGTTCAGTCAATTTTCAACTTATTTTCAGTCAATTGCGGGCCATTTTCAACGGATTTCTTGGACCATTTTTAGGCCTATTTTAGGCCATTTCAAGCCTAAATTGGATTATTTAAAGTATATTTCAGAACGTTTCGAATCTAAAAGGCACCATTTTAAGCCTAATTTGATCCCATTTTGGCCAATTTTCAGTTTTTTTTTTCAAATTGATATTTTGTATCATTTTAGCCCGATTTTAGACTGTTCCCAGCTCAATTTGGACCATTTCAGCCCGACTTTTGACGATTTTCGGCCTATTTTAGACCGTTTTCAGCCAAATTTGGCCTATTTCTGACTCATTTTCCCCCCAATTTCCATCACTCACCATTGGGACTTTTGGTCATCGTCGGGATAGCATGAAGTCCAACGTTTTGGATGAGTTTCGTGTCCACCGGAATCTCCCATTCCCAAATTCGCACTGATTTATCGTCGGATGTCGATGCGAAACGGCGATTTTTGTCGAAGAATGTGATCGAGTTGACTGCCTGGAAGGATCGGGGAAAAATAAGCTCATTTTTGACCTATTTTGACTCATTTTGGATCGATTTTGGACCATTTTAGGCCAAATTCGAACGCTTGTAAGCCAAATTTAGACAATTTCAGGCTCATTTCGGACTATTTTAGGCCTATTTTGAACCTTTTCTGACTCATTTTAGACCATCTTGAGTCAACTTTGAATCATTTTAGACCTATTTTAGACCACATTTAGACCTTTTGTCAGGATCATGTTGGACCAGTTTCGGGCGATTTTGAGCTAATTCTGGGTCACTTTAAGCCAAAATTGGACTATTTCGTACTAATTTTGAGCCCAAGAGAGAATTATACATCGTTTTCAGATAATTTTTGGTCACTTTAAGACTCGAAATTCAGTGATTTTTAGGCTATTTTCAAGCGATTTCTGGCTAATTTCTGAGAGCTATTTTCAGTCAATTTTTGGCTCATTTTGAATGTTTTAAGCCTAATTTGGGCCATTTTTGACTGATTCTAGACTAACTTAAGGCCGAATTTGGATCATTTCGAGCCAAATTTGGTATATTTTCAGCTTATTTTTGACTATTTCAAGCCATTTTCAGTCAATTTCAGCCAATTAAAAAAATTACCTATTGTTCAGCTGTTAGTTTCAAGCTATTTTTAGGCGAATTCTGGTTCATTTTAAGCCATTTTTCGACAATTCAGGCTCATTTTCAGTCGATTTCAAGCCAATTTGTTAATCGAAATTGACCTACTGCTTAGCTTATTTCTAGTCAAAAATAACTTAAATTTTAGATTTTTAACTCAATTTTCGCTCATTTTAAGCCAATTAGGCCTATTTTAAGTCAAATTTGGACCATTTCAAGCCCATTTTTGGCTCATTCTAAGCCAAAAAAAAAAATCCAAAATCCCCCTACTTGCAAATGCCGATCATACTCCTGCACAATCTCGCCGGATCTCGAGTCCCATTGAATAATCTTCTTATTCTGCATTCCAACCAAGAACATATGATTCTTATCGTCATCCGGGTGGTATTTCAAGCAGTACGGTACGTGTCCCGTATGGAATCTCTGCTTCACTTGTCCCGTTTCCGTATCCCACAGCTTCACGTATCGATCGAAAGACGCCGACAGGAATTCCGTGCCTTCATTGTTGAAGGCAACCTCTCGAACTGGCAGCTTGTGTCCAGAATACGTTCGGACCACCCTCTGACGATCGTAAACCTCCCATAGCTTGATTTTGGTGTCCATTGAGCACGAGAGGAACAGATGGGCACTTTTTGGGAACCACTGGAGGAAGTTGACGCCCTTGTTGTGTCCCCGGTACGTGTGCACGAGCTTCTTGGGCACGAAACAACGCTCTGGGCAGTAGTCTTCGCGGAGGTTGACACCTGTGAAGCTGGGTGGCACCAGGAACGAACGTCCTTGATAGTCCTCGGCTTCTTTCACTGCAAAACATATGGATTTTGGGGGTTGAAATTAGAGGATTTTAGGGCTGCAATTAGCCAATTTTAGGGTTCATATCAGCTATTTTTGTGAGCTGAAATTTCGGAAATTTTGGTATCAAAAACTACGATTTTTGGGCTGAAATTGATTAGTTTTAGGCTGAAAATCCATGGAATTTGGGGCTGAAATTGATGATTTTCAGAGTTAGAGTAGGAGTTTTTGGGCTAAAATTGTCAACTTTTCGACTGAAACTGATGATCTTGAGGACCTGACTTTTTTTTTGTTGATGAAATTGACGGTTTTTCGGATCGAAATCAGCGAATTTTGAGCTGAATTTCACGATTTTTAAGGTTAAAATCAGATGTTGAATTCTGGGCGAAAATTACTGGATTTTAGAGCCAAAATCAGGGAATTTCGGACTGAAATTGACGAATTTAAGCGTAAAATTGATGATTTTTCCGATCAAAAGCGGAGTTTTCAAGGCTAAAATTCCAGGCTTTCAGAAGCAAAATTAGTGATTTTTTAGCTAAAATTGATTGTTTTTGGGGGTGAAATTAGTGTGATTTTTCGGGTCAAAATCATCAATTTTGGGGCTTAAATTGATGATTTCAGAGCTGAAATCAGTGAAATTTAAGATAGAATCAACGATTTTTCGGGTCAAAATCAAAGATTTTGAGCGGAAATTGATGATTTTTAGGTTCGAAATCTGGGATTTTCCGTCGAAATTCAGCAATTTCGGGCATAATATAGCCAATTTTCCGCTTAAATTGATAATTGACAGGGCTGAAATCAATGATTTTCTAGTTGAAAATGGCAATTTTCAGCCGAAATTTGTGCATTTCAGGGCTGAAATCAATGATTTTCAGATCTAAAAAAAGCAAAAATTTGCTGGAAATCATCTAATTCTTGAGATAGCCTCCTAGGATCTACAGTACTTTTTTAAAGCGATTTTTGAGCCTCAAAACTCAAATTTTCACGTTTTTCAGCATTTTTTCAGCAACATTGAGGCTTAAAACACCCAATATCTCTCCTCTCCTTAGGATCTTTTTTACGCCTTAAAACCGATTTTTGCTCCGGAATTCGTATTTTTGCAATCTTAAGCAATTTTTCAGCAAAATTCAGAGACTTGAAAACGCAAAAAAATCCTTTCTAAATCGGAAAAAAATGTGTAAAAACGCCAGTTTAACCGATTTTAGAGCCCTGGAACTTGAATTTTAGCCATTTCCAGTCGATTTTCAGCCCTCAAACCCCCAAAATCCAGCCATGGATCTCAAATTTTTTCGATTTTCAGCCTTTTCCAGACTCAAAAAACCCACAATGAAGCGTGGAGCTCTCGTCAGCCATCTGCTCACTATCCTCCTTATCCTTCTTGAATTTCCTGCTCTTTTCCTGTCGTTTCTTCACAATTTCATCCATTTGCTTCTGTAGTTCCGGAGATGGCTTCGCCACAGTCTTCTCATCCGCAAATCTGCTCCATGGTCCCGTATATCCATCAACATCGGCCGAATCGTCGTTCCGCACCCTCTTCCGCTTCTCACCGCCCGTTTTTTTCGACTCAAACAGGGAAACGCCTTTCTCGGTTTCCGCTTTTTTGACATCTCCAATGAATTGCGTCGTGCCGGTCTCTGCTGTGGGGTTCTGGGCGTATCCGAGGGTGTCGAAACTTCGAATTTCACGATTAAAATGGAATTCGTTGAGATGGGCGGGCTCGACGAAGCCTGTCAGTGTGTTCTTTTGGGATCGTTGTTGTTCGGATTTGAACGGATTCACTGGACCAGACTGCAATATTTTAACGATTTTTGTGTTTTCATGGATTTTGAGCAATTTTTCACGAATTTTGAGCAATTTTTCACGAATTTTGAGCCATTTTTCATGGATTTTGAGCTATTTTTCATGATTTTTGAGCCATTTTTCATGGATTTTGAGCCATTTTTCATGAATTTTGAGCAATTTTTCATGAATTTTGAGCAATTTTTCACGAATTTTGAGCCATTTTTCATGAATTTTGAGCCATTTTTCATGAATTTTGAGCCATTTTTCATGAATTTTGAGCAATTTTTCATGAATTTTGAGTCATTTTTCATGGATTTTGAGCTATTTTTTAAAATGATTTTTGAGTCATTTTTCATGAATTTTGAACCATCATTTTTGGGCAAATTGGCGATTTTCCCACAAAAAATATCAATTTTGGGCGAATTTTCGTAATTTTCCGCTGTTTTCAAGTCAAAATTTTTATTGTTTTTTAGGCTGAAAATGAGGATTTTCCGCCTAAAATTGATGTTTTTCGCTTGAAATTCGTCAGTTATTGTCCAATTTTTGAAAATTGCTTCGTCAAAATCAATAGATTTGAGTCGAAATTCTCAATTTTTGAGCCAAAACTCATGATTTTTCACTAAAAAAATTCTAATTTTGGTCCGATTTTCGTGATTTTTAGATCAAAAAACGCAAAAAAAAGAGCATTTTTGACCCGAATATGATGACTTTTGGCTTAAAACCGGTTAGAATTTTTGTGAAACGTTCTATCCGAAATTCATGAATTTCTGGGCAAAAATCAGCAATTTGTGCCCGATTTTCGTGATTTTTAGATCAAAAAACGCAAAAAATGAGAATTTTAGCCAAAATTCTTGATTTTCTGGCTTAAAATCGTGATTTTTAGTCATTTTTAAGCTATTTTTTGAGAATTCTGGCATAAAAATTATCGATTTTTTGGTGAATTTTCGGTCCAAAATCTTCATTTTTCTCTCAAAAACCAGTTTTCCCTACCTCCGCCTTGAACAATTGCTCAAATTTCGGGTTCGATTTAATTTCCTTGGTCTTCGGGTCCACAATGGCGACTTCCTTGATAACACTCTTCGATAGAACGTCTGGAGCCATCACAATGGCTCTCTCGGCCGATTTTCCGTTGGAAATCTCCATGTCATCTTCTGATTGCTCACTATCACTCATACCGTATGCCTGGAGCGCATCCATCGTCTGAAAACGTGGAAATTTCAGCAATTTTCGATTATTTCGCAAAAAATGGACAAATATCAAGTGTATCACTACTACCAGCACTATTCTCCGGATCATTACGATCTCTATTGGTCCTATTTCGGGCTTGGTCTCATTTTCTTGGTATCAATTTCGATTCCCCTGTACCTACAACACACTGCGACTGGAGATATGCCAACTGGAGAGGCAATAGGTGCTGAGAACTATGTACAATGGCATTTGGAGCAGGAAATTGCTCAGATTAAGGTAAAAACTCGAGCTAGAAAGGGCAAAAAGAAACGGAAACGGGGATCGGTAGGGAAAATCCTCTTTTTGGGAATTTTTGAGCCTAAAATTGAATATTTTCAGATTTCCACTAAGGAGGACTAAATTTTATTGAACTTGATTCCTTTTTATTGCATGAATAAAGCTTTAATTTGTTTAAAATCGTTGAAAACTTTTAGAAAAAGTTTTACACCAGTAAACCCGATTTTCCGATCAAAAACTATGGGTTTCGGGTGAATTTGAACAAAAATAATGTCTCCAAAGACGTTTTTCACCTAAAAACCACTAAAAAACCCTCAAAAACAGCCAGGAACCCCCTGAAAAATCAATTTTCGCCTGAAAAATGGCGCAATTTTTATTCGAAAATATTTTTGTGCGGTGGGGCGCACTTGCATACCGCTGTCGAAAATCGCCGATTTTCCACGATTTTTCGATATTATTTGGGGTTTTCAATGGATTTTTCGGGTCAAAAAGGCTAATTTGATGTGTTAAAAATGATGGAAAATTTTATTTTATCGAAAATGTCGGTTAAAATCTATGAAAATCGATTTTTTCCCAAAAAATTGATTTTTTTAGATTGAAGCCCGGAAAAATAAAAAATAACGAAAAACAAGACCACGAGTCTGTATGAGTCATCATAAGCAGTATAAAAACATCCGGTTTTCTTTCTTTTTCTTGTTTTTCCTCATTCTCTTAACGATTTTGCAAAAAGTTCCAGATTTTTTTGTTTTTAGCTGATTTTAGGGAGAAATATGACCTAATTTTAGCGAAAAATGACTCTTAACCGCTTTAAAGTGGTCAATTTCTTTGATTTTCCAGAAGAAAAACATTTTTCGAAAAAAAAAATGTTTTTCTCAAATTTTCAAATTCCAGGCACCATGGAGAAGCCGTTCTGCATCAAATTGGTAGCCACCCAGATGAAAAAGCTTTCCGAAGACGTCATTATTCTCTCAAACAACGAAAATTCGCCCGTCGAGTCTCCAGAAGAGCATCCAGAAGACGTCGAGCTTCTGACGTTCGTTCAAGTCTACGAGGAGCTGTGTAAATTCATCAGAATGTTGGGGAAAATCTTCGAATTCGTCGAGAAGGACGTTCGTGAGAAAATCGATCTTTTGAAGGAGTTGCATTCGTCGAATCCTGACGGCTATAAGACCATTATTACAATGGTTTACAGTGAAAAATCGATGGATAAGAAGGAGAAGGAGAGTGGAGCAATCGCGATTTTGCATTTGAATCGGTGAGAAAATAGGCTTGAAATGACTCGAAATAGGCTTAAAATGACCCAAAGTAGACCAAAAATGACTCGAAACCGGCTTAAAGTGACTCGAAATTGGCCTAAAAATAGCTTAAAATTGACTAAAATGATCCAAAAAATCAACCTAAAATTTATCAAAATATGGCTAAAATAAGCCTAAAACAGGCCTGAAATGGTCCAAAATTAGCTGAAAGCAGGTCTTAAATAGGCTTAAAATGGTCCAAAATCAGTCAAAGTAGCTCCAAACAGGCTTAAAATGGTCTAGGTTGGGCTTAAAATAGCCAAAATGCTTAAAATAGTCAAGCCTTCCAAAACTGGCTCAAATTGTCCGAAATTGCCTAAAAAGTGGCTTAAAACCCCCGAATTTCTGCCAAAAATGCCCGCAAAATCTCCAAAAAATGGTCTGAAACAGTCCGAAATTGTCTAAAAATGACTCTAAAAAGTCCAAAATTGTGCCCAAAATGCCCAAAATTTGTGTTTTTTTTCCCGAATGTGGCCGAAAATGACTCAAAAATCACTTTAAAATTGCATAAAAACAACTAAAAATTGTCATAAAGTGGTTTTAAACCATTGAAATTACCCTAAAATTGCTTAAATTCTCAAAAATCCCCATGTTTTCAGCGCTCTCGAGTTCATTGTGGAGTTCATGTACGCGGCGGTGGCCGCTTCCAACGACGATAGTATCGCGAAAATCTGCAAGGAGTGCTACGATGGAACATTGGCGAAGTAAGTCGAAAATCGCTTGAAATATACTGAAAATAGGTCCGATTTCGATAAAAAATAACCGAAAATCAGTCTAAAATAGTCGAAAAAATCTGAAATTTGACTGAGAATTTTCGAAAAAATTTCGAATTTCAACGATTTTATAGCTGGAAATTTCCAATTTTCAATAATTTTTTAAAAATTTGCGATTTTTAAGGTTTTTACTTTGGAATTTTTGCACATTTTAAGCTGAAAATTCTCAATTTTCCATAATTTTTTAAAGCTGAAAATTTCGATTTTTAGGCATTTTTCGGCTTCAAATTGCATTTTTCAATATTTTTAGCTGAAAATTCTCAATTTTCCATAATTTTCAGGTAGAATTTCCAATTTTTAGGCATTTTTAAGCTTCAAATTGCATTTTTCAATATTTTTAGCTGAAAATTCTAAATTTTCTATAATTTTTTTGCTGAAAATTTCGATTTCTAGGCATTTTTAAGCTTCAAATTGGATTTTTGAAAAATTTTCCACTTCGAAATTTCGAATTTTCATGACTTTTGAAGCAATGGAAAATGTGAATTTTCAGAAATTTTCAGTTAGATTTTTCTAATTTTTCGCTTTAAAATCCTCAATTTTTACCCATTACACGCTCTCCCACAGAACATTTCCGAACTGCAAGTTAATTTTTGATCTACAGAAAAAAGTTTGGCGCGATCACAATTGCAGGTCTAAAACCATAATTTCAGAATTTTTTATCTGATTTTGTGGAGTTCCAAGATGATTCAAATGATTCTAAAAAATTAATTAGTGGTTATAGATTCATGTATGGTCGTTTTCCGGAAGAAAAAATGTCAAAAATGGTCATTTTTGAAAGTTTTTTACAGAAAAAATCTATCTCCTCTTTCAGTTTTCGACATTTCCAGGAGTCCTATAGCTCAAAAAAACCGCAATTATTTTCTCTACATTTTCTATGGATGAATTTTTAATTCGTCTGATAAAACTTTTTTTATAATTCAAAAACCTCATGGAACTCCACAAAATCAGATAATATGTCTTCAAAACTATTTGCAAATCTCAAAATTTGGCCTAAAATTGGCTAACATGACCCAAAGACGGTCTAAAATAGTCAAAAATCAGCTGAAAATGGTCGAAAATCAGCTGAAAATAATCCAAAATTAACTGAAAATGATATAAATTTGACTGTAATTGGCTCAAAATCAGCTCAAAAATGGTCTAAAATCAGCCTAAAGTAGTCCAAATCCAGCCGAAAATCGGCTTAAAATGCACCAAAATAGGCTTAAAATGGTCTAAAATCACCCTAAAATGATTCAAATTCGCCCAGAAAACGAAAATGGCTCAAAATTCATGAAAAATGGCTCAAAATTTACAGGAAATGGTCCAAAAATCATGAAAAATGGTCCAAAATTCATGAAAAATGGCTCAAAATTCATGGAAAATGGTCCAAAATCCATGAAAAATCCATGAAAAATGGCTCAAAATTTTTGAAAAATGGCTCAAAATTCATGAAAAATGGTCCAAAAATCATGAAAAATATGTCAAAATCCATGAAAAATGGCTCAAAATTCATGAAAAATGGTCCAAAATCCATGAAAAATGGGTCAAAATTCATGAAAAATGGTTCAAAAATCAGGAAAAATGGTCCAAAATCCATAAAGATTGGCTCAAAATTTTCGAAAAATGGTCCAAAATCCATGAACAATGGCTCAAAATTGGCCTAAAATGATGCGAAATTGGTTTAAAAAACTATAAAATCTCAAATTCCTTCAATTTTCCAGACACCACCCGTGGATCATCCGTACCGCTGTGAAAGTGGCCGTCTACACGCTGCCATCGCGTGATAAAATGCTGGAATACATTCGAGGAGACCATCCAGACGAGTCTCTGATTCGAGGCCATATCGATGACGTCGTCAGCCATGGAAAACTGGTTCATGCCAGAATCAACACCATCTACACCGTCCATGAGCTTCATAAGATTGCCTAGAGGATTCTAAATACTCGTTTTTTGCCTTTTTTTGTCTGAAAATATGTCTAAAAATGACTGAAAATGACTGAAAAACCCCTTAAATCCCCTAAAAATCTTCGAATTTTCATGATTTTTTCTAGCTAAAATTTCAATTTTCGAGAATCTTTTCAGCTAAAAATTTCGCGTTTTCAGCCATTTTCAGTCATTTATATCCCTCAAAATCGCCTCAAAATCATGTTAATATGTACTTTTTTCTATTGTATTTATTGGACTTTTCACCCATTTTTCACCGCATAATGTGCCTTTTTTTCACCTCCCTTTTCCAACGCATTTCAAACACTTTTTCGAGTTTTTCCCCCTTTTTTCCTTGCCTTTTTCACCCCAAAATTCCGATCGAATCGATATAAAAATCACTGATTTTTCCCCGGTTTTTTTTCTTCGATTTTTTGTTGGGTTTTTGACCCATTTTTACCTTTTTAAACCTATTTTTTTCGCTATTTTTGTGCTAATTTTTCCAGAATTTTTGCTCAATTTCAGCGAAAATTTTCAGATGGAAAACGCTGAGCGAATCGAAGTGACACTCGTCGACCAGCCCTATTCGAATTTGGTCATTTCGCCGAATAATGGGTAAAAATTGAGGATTTTAAAGCGAAAAATTAGAAAAATCTAACTGAAAATTTCTGAAAATTCACATTTTCCATTGCTTCAAAAATCATGAAAATTCGAAATTTCGAAGTGGAAAATTTTTCAAAAATCCAATTTGAAGCTTAAAAATGCCTAGAAATCGAAATTTTCAGCAAAAAAATTATAGAAAATTTAGAATTTTCAGCTAAAAATATTGAAAAATGCAATTTGAAGCTTAAAAATGCCTAAAAATTGGAAATTCTACCTGAAAATTATGGAAAATTGAGAATTTTCAGCTAAAAATATTGAAAAATGCAATTTGAAGCCGAAAAATGCCCAAAAATCGAAATTTTCAGCTTTAAAAAATTATGGAAAATTGAGAATTTTCAGCTTAAAATGTGCAAAAATTCCAAAGTAAAAACCCTAAAAATCGCATTTTTTCATCTTAAAAATATTGTGAATTTTCCGAAAAAAAAGTCTGAAATTCCAGAATTTTCAGCTAAAAAATTATTGAGAATTGGGAATTTTCATCTATAAAATCGTTGAAATTCGAAATTTATCCGAAAATTGCAATTTTTACAACTATTTTTTTTTTCAAGTTTCAAAACTTAATTTTCATTTTTTGGCTCTGGCCAAAAAATACAGTTTTTTTTCCACTAAAATCCACCAATTTTCCCCCATTTTCAGACTGAAAATTTGCCGAAAAAACCTGTTTTGCCCGATTTTTCCGATTTTTGGCTCTAAAAAATCCTAAATTTTCCACCGAATTTCCAGCATAATTGCCCCCCATTGTCAGACCTAAAATTCGAATTTTTCAGCAAAAAAAATCCTAAAATCGAAATTTTCAGCTTAAAAAAAAATCAAAATTCCGGATTTTTGAGTTTCAAAAAACCCGAAAATTGAAATTTCTAGCATAAAAAATCCTGAAAATCGACATTTGTGAGCTCAAAAACCGTAAAATTCGAATTTTTCAGCGAAAAAATTCCTAAAATTGAAATTCCAGCTTTAAAAAAATTTTAAAATTCGAAATTTCCAGCTCAAAAATCCAAAAATTTCGAGGTTTTCGGTGGAAAATTTCTGAAAAATTCAATTTTTGGCTCTCTGAGCTCCAGAAATTCCCAATTTCCCCCCACCTATTTCCAGCCTCCTCTCCGTCACCACCGGGACATTATGCGAAATTCGATATCTGGAAAAGAGCGGCGCTGCTCGCCAACTTCTCAAACACGATTCCAACGTCGTCGCTGCGTTTTTCCAGTCGGAACATCGTCTGATTACTGTAACTGAGAATGGAGAAGTTAGCGAATTCGAAGCTGGCGAGAGAGGATTCGAGAAGAAGTCGTCGAAGAGGGTTACGGCGTTTCCTGTGGTGTAAGTAGCTAGAAATAGGGGAAAATGGGTTGAAAATCGTCCAAAAATGACCCTAAAATAGTCTAAAATGACTGGAAATGACCATAAATAGCCTAAAAATGGTATAAACTGACTGGAAATGGTCCAAAATGGCCTAAAAATTATCTAAAATTGCCCAAAAAATGGCCTAAAAATGGCCGAAAACTGAAATTTGACTGAAATTACCGTAATCCCTAATCCAAAAAAACGTTCCCGTTGAAAATCAAAAGCTACAGTAATCCTACAGTATCCTATGTAACATAGGCTATGCTGTTGAGCAGTTTTGAGGACGCCTACAGTACCCTGAGCTTCGTTTCTTATGAACTACAGTAATCCAGAAATTTCACTTTTCTCTCCTAAACTACCGTAATCCCCTACACAAAGGTCAATAGAACATTTGACTACAGTAATCCTACAGTTTCCTAGATTGCAGTTTTGAAAGTACAGTAATCCAGAAAGCCAATTACGGTAGGAATCTAGAATATCCACAGTAATCCCTACTTAAAGGTCGATAGAATAGTTTACTACAGTAATCTTACAGTATCCTAGATTGCATTCTACCAAAATACAGTAACCCATTACGGTAGGAATCTAGAACATCTACAGTAATCCTACAGTGTCCTAGTTTGTATTTTTTTTTCAAATTACAGTAATCCAGAAAGACAATTACGGTAGGAATCTGAAATATCTACAGTAATCCTACAGTATCCCCCAATTGCTGACTCTTGGGCTACAGTATAGGTAAAGTACAATATCTGAACTAGGTTACTGTATTCCTGGATCATCGTTCCTACAGTAATCCTTCACTAGAATTACGGTAGTCCAACGTTACAGTAATCCTACAGTATCTAACAGTATCCCTGGTTACTGTAGTCTATGTCTAGAGAGCTCGAAATCTCAAAAATCATGCTACAGTAATCCTCTAAAAGTACAGTATCTGAAATAGGCCACGGTAGTCCTAGATCATCGTACCTACAGTAATCCTTCACTAGAATTACGGTAGTCGAGCAATCCTACAGTAGCCCTACAGTATCCTTGAATCCTCTAACTTTCAAAATCACGGCAGATAGTACTCCCAAGAAGTTGTCGAGCTACAGTAACCCAATCCAAAAACTACAGTAATCCTCGTCTAGAATTATTACGGTAGTTCAACATTACAGTAATCCTACATTATCTGCAATCGCTGACTTTCTGAACTACCTTAGAGGCTACTGTAGTCCAAAATTACAGTAATCCTCTAACTTTCAAAATCACGGTAGATAGTACTCCCAAGAAGTTGTCAAACTACAGTAACCCGATCCAAAAAGAAGCTAGAGTAATGCTACAGTAATCTTACAGTATCCCTAACTGCTGTATTTCCCAGATTACGGTAGATATTATCCCAAAGATCCAAGGCAATCCTCAGCTGTAGTGAAGGGCTACAGTAACCCAAAAACTACAGTAACCCAATCCAAAAAGAGGCTACAGTAATCCTCTAAAATCTACTGAACTTGTCCTATTTTCAGCTGCGCCTTCGCCCAAAAATCGTCTTCTTCTGATACTTCGAAAGATCTCGAAATCTGGTTGGTCGTTGAGAAAAGTGCCGACGTCACGTCATCTAAGAACGAGAAGACGTACGACGTCTGTGTAATCGGTGCAAATGGATCGTTTTTCAAAGTGCTCGAAATCCCGTCCGACTGTCGAAAAGAGCAAATTTCGATCGAAAATCGGGTGGTTTCGTATGCCCACCGTCTGGATGTTCATTCGATCGTTTTGAAGGACGTCGACTTTTCAGTCATCAAGGAGACCAAGTTTACGGCCAAAAATGGAGGACATGGTGAGGGATTTTTGGGCTGAAAATGCTGAAAGTTAGACTGCAAATGGCTGAGAAATGATTCAAAAATCGTAAAAAATCGACCAAAATTGGTTAAAAATCAGAAAATTTGACTGAAAATCGACTTAAAATGAGCCAAAAATCACCAAAATTCGGATTTGGGCGCCTAGGATTGCTGTACTTTGGAAACAAATTCAATCTAGGATTGTTAAGGGTTACTGTACTTCACAAATCTGGAATCGTGGATACTGTAGGATTACTGTAGCCAGCTGTTCCCTAGATACGATGGTCCAGGACTACAGTAACCCTTGGGATACTGTAGGATTACTGTAAGCTGAACTACCAGGAGAATTAGCTACGGGAATTCAGAACTACAGTAACCTAGCTCAGATACTGTACTTTTAGATACTGTAGCTCAAGAGTCAGCAATTTGGGGATACTGTAGGATTACTGGGAATATTTTAGATTCCTACCGTAATTGGATTACTGTACTTTGAGAAACTGGAATCGAGGATACTGTAGTCAACTATTCTATCAAACTTTTGTGTAGGGATTACGGTAGTTTAAGATTCGGTGAGATTCCTGAAGTACGGTAGTTGATGAGAAACGAAGCTAGGATACTGTAGGATTACTGTATCTTCGAAATTCAGAAAGTTACTGTTACGAGATTTTAAAACTACAGTAACCCACAGATGATGTAGTTTAGAAGTCAGCAATCTAGGGTTACTGTAGATCTTGGTAGCTTCTGCTATTTTGAATCTACCGTAACCCTATGAGCGATTTTTATTGTATTACTGTAATTAGAGATACTGTAGGAATACGGTAGGATTTCGCAGATATATTTTTTGTAGTTTGGAATTACTGTAGCTCACGATAAATGTAATCTAGGATACTGTACGATTACTGTAGCTTCGGAATTTTAACGGAAAATGTTTTTGGGATTACTGTAGTTCGCAATAAATGTATTTTAGGATACTGTAGGATTACTGTAGTTTTGAAGGTTTCTTTTCGAAATTAAAAATCTAAGATAGCTTTAAAATTGAGAATACTGTAGGATTACTGTAACATAGGAATACTGTAGGATTACTCTAATTTTGGGCGCTTTTTTCGAAATTAAAGATCTAGATAGGTTACTAGTTATGGATACTGTAAGATTACTGTAACACGATAGCTTCAAAATCTACACTTTGAGGATTACTGTAATTCCAGAAGGCGGACCACCTCATGAAATCGAACGTCTCGCTTCCAATGGAAATTATCTGGTGGCCGCAATTTCGGACGGTCGAATTCTCCAATGGTCGAACCTCCGATCGGCCGGCGTCTCGGACACCCATCACCGTATTCATTGGCACAAAGTGGGAATCCACGTGGCAGTCACTCAGTTTGGAAATGTGCTCTCCGCTGGAGCAGAATGCGTCCTGGCTCGACACTCTAAAGGACAGAAGGAGCCAACGAAGCTGCCAAGATTGGCTGCGCCGGTGACTGGTCTGGTGTTGTCAGACGACTCGTCCACGTGTGCTCTTGTCATGGGTAAGGGATTTGTAAAAAAAATCAGCCAAAATTCGAATTTTCGGATTTAAATTGATTAAAAATCGCTATTTTCAGCTCAAAAAACCCGATTTTCAACTTTAAAAAATTGGTTTTTTTTCTGTCAAAAACTCCCGATTTTCCACTTAAAATGGCTATTTTCCGTTGGAAATTGCCCGAATTTCGCATTGAAATAGCTATTTAAAAAGGCTATTTTTACCCTAAAATCGATAGATTTTTACTCTGAAAATCGAGAATTTCAGGCTGAAAATTGACGAAATTTCGAGATAAAAATTCTTATTTTCAGCATAAAAATCAAGATTTTTGACCTAAAAATGGCAATCTTGCAGCCTAGAAACGACTGATTTTCCGATAGATTTTTGCTCTGAAAATCGTGAATTTGAGCCTCAAAAATGGCTATTTTCGGCATAAAATAGCATCGAGTTGATTCAAAAAATCGCTATTTTCAGCCTAAAAATCTCCATTTTGACTCTGAAAATGACGATTTTCAGCCTAACAATCTCCATTTTGACTCTGAAAATGACTGTTTTCAGCCTAAAAATCTCCATTTTGGCTCTGAAAATTACTATTTTCAGCCTAAAAATCTCCATTTTGACTCTGAAAATGACGATTTTCAGCCTAAAAATCTCCATTTTGACTCTGAAAATGACGATTTTCAGCCTAAAAATCTCCATTTTGACTCTGAAAATGACGATTTTCAGCCTAAAAATCGAAAAATCGACTGAAAATGACCATTTTTTAAGCTTAAAAATCACAGTTTTTCGCTTTTGAAATAGCTTTTTTTAGCCCAAAAAAACCCCCAAATTTCGTTTTAAAAATCGCTATTTCAGGCCGAAATATCCGTTTTTTACCCAAAAAATTCTCAAAAAAAAAAAAAAAAATGCTGAAAATTGGCGATTTTCAGCCAAAATGTCACCAAATTTTACTGGTCAAAAATTACTTTTTATTTCTTCTTGAGTTCTGTGAAATCTACACTGTTTGCTCACTTTTCTTGTGAAAACAACAGTACACACATCTTGTTGATCTATGATGAGCAATCGGTTGTTCCTGAGAAGATCCTGAGAAATTCGTCACTTTTTTGATCCAAAAAATCCGCATTTTTGGCTACTACAGTACTACACAGGACTACAGTAATCCTAGAGAAAAAAATCCTAAAAACTAATTTCCAGAAGACAACTCAATTCACACGGTCCTCCTCGCCACGATGGCCATCAAATCGTTGGTTTCGACGCTGGAATACTGTCCGAGATCGTTGAATACCGTATTCTGCAGGTTAGGAGAAGGATTACTGCAGTTTTTGGGTTACTGTAGCCCTTCACTACAGCTGAGGATTGCCTTGGATCTTTGGGATACTATCTACCGTAATCTGGGAAATACAGCAGTTAGGGATACTGTAAGATTACTGTAGCATTACTCTAGCTTCTTTTTGGATCGGGTTACTGTAGTTTGACAACTTCTTGGGAGTACTATCTACCGTAATTTTGAAAGTTAGAGGATTCAGGGATACTGTAGGGCTACTGTAGGATTGCTCGACTACCGTAATTCTAGTGAAGGATTACTGTAGGTACGATGGACTACCGAAGCCTATACTGTCCTTTTAGATACTGTAGCTCAAGAATCAGAAAAAACTGGGGGTATACTGTGAATTACGGTAGATATTGTAGATTCCTACCGTAATTGGATTACTGGATTACTGTACTTTGAAAACTTTCAATCTATGATACGTTAGGATTACTGTAGCCAACTATTCTATCGATCTTTCTGTGGAGATTAGATTATGGTAGTTGAGGATTCATTGAGATTTCTGGATTACTGTAGTTCATGGGAAACGAGGCTAAGATAGTGTAGGATTACGGTAACCGAAGTCCTCAAAGGCATAGTTTTGAAATCAAGAATCCAGGATGCTGTAGGGTTACTGTAGTTTTTCAATTTTTGAAGCTTGGAACTTCGATGCTAGGATTCTGTAGGCGTACAGTAACCGAGGTCCTCGAGGACTGCTAAATCCCATTTCCAGCTTTGAAAGCAAGAATCTAGTATACTGTAGGATTACGTAGTGTTATCCACAAAAAACATTTTGCGGTTACTGTAGTTTATAAAAAAAGGAAACATGTAGGAGTACAGTAACCAAGGTCTTTAGAAAACTGTAGGATTACTGTAGTTTTCTAGTTAAACTGTATGTCATTAAAAAACGAAGCTAGAGTACTGTAGGATTCCAAGGTCACCTCAAAAATCTAGCTTTCTAATCAAGTATTTAGGATACTGTAGGATTACTGTAGTCAACTATTCTATCGAATTTTTGTGTAGGGATTACTGTAGTTCAGAATTCAGTGGGATTCCTGGAGTACTGTAGTTTGTAAAATACTGAGATTGGATACTGTAGGATTACTGTAGTCAACTATTCTATCGAATTTTAGTGTAGGGATTAATGTAGTTCAGAATTCAGTGAGATTCCTGGAGTACTGTAGTTGATGAGAAACGAAGCTAGGATACTGTAGGATTACTGTATCTTCGAAATTCAGAAAGTTACTGTTACGAGATTTTAAAACTACAGTAACCCACAGATGATGTAGTTTAGAAGTCAGCAATCTAGGGTTACTGTAGATCTTGGTAGCTTCTGCTATTTTGAATCTACCGTAACCCTATGAGCGATTTTTATTGGATTACTGTAATTAGAGCTACTGTACCTTTTCTAATAAATCGATTTTTTCCAGCGACCCCCTTCGCCCACGAGACATCGTTATGAACGGAAAACCAGGCCATATCCAATGGTTCGACGCCGCCACCGCCTACACTCTCTCAAAAATGCACGTAACTCTGGAGAATACAATCGACGGTGATATGTCGTCTCGTGGCATCAAATGCGCATTCCGCGACGTTCTTACTGTAGCGTTCACCCAAAAACTCGTCGCTACCATCGAGAAATTCGTCCATTTCGACGGTGAGAATCATTTGAGATTCTGGAAACGAAAGGGTAACGCAACGGATACCGTGCTGGTCGCATCGATTGCAGTGCCGAAGGATGTTGTCATGGTTGCCACGTGTCAGACGCCAGCTGCGTCCAGATTTGTGGTAAGTACAGTAGATTCTTGATTTAAAAGCTGGAAATAAGGATTCAGCAGTCCTCGAGGACCTCGGTTACTGTACGCCTACAGAATCCTAGCATCGAAGTTCCAAGCTTCAAAAATTGAAAAACTACAGTAACCCTACAGCATCCTGGATTCTTGATTTCAAAACTATGCCTTTGAGGACTTCGGTTACCGTAATCCTACACTATCCTAGCCTCGTTTCCCATGAACTACAGTAATCCAGAAATTTCAATGAATCCTAAACTACCATAATCTAATCTCCACAGAAAGATCGATAGAATAGTTGGCTACAGTAGGCTTACAGTATCCGAGATTACGATTTTTCCAAAGTACAGTAATCTAGTAAGACAATTACGGTAGGTCTAAGACATCTGGAAACTATCGTGTTACAGTAATCCTACAATGTCCCCAATTTCTGCTTGTTTCCAGAACACAATCATCACCGCGTCGACATCTGGAACCCTCAGCGTTTGGGATTATACTGAAAAAGAGGTTCTAGAAGACATGGAACGGTCTAGGAATTGGCAAGAAACCGAGATTCGCGACATTTCAATGATTCAAGCAGACGGAAAATTCGTCAGTGCTCACGGACAGCATGCAGTGCTCTGGAGTGTCAAAAATGTGAGTTTTCGTGGGTTAGATAGGTAAAATGGCCTTTTTTAGCTAAACAAATGACTGGAAATGGTCCTCCAGAATAGCCTAAAAATCATGAAATTCGTCCAAAATGACCTAAAATTAACTAGAAAGCCTTGAAGAATTATATTAAATCAGGTGAAACTCGTTGAAAAGGACCTCGTGAAGGCTCAAAATTGGTCGAAAATGGTCGAAAAATAGCTTTAAAATTATAGAAATCTTGAAAATGACCCAAAATTGACCAGGAAAACCCCTAAAAATCAGCTGAAACTCGCTGAAAATGATCATTTTTCCAGATGAAAATCATCGACGTCCTCAGCTGCGACGACGACATTCTGAAGGTCTCCTTCGCCGCCGACGAACGTCATCTGATAATCTCGACGAAGAAAGGTGTGATCTGCTGGGACACCCTCTGCCTTTTGGTCGTTTGGCGCATTCAACAACGCGTTGGAATCCATGTGGGCTACACTGGATGCTACGCTCTCGATGGTCCACAAGTGATGAAGTTCGACGCGGAGTCTGGAAGAGTCCTGGAGACGGTGCAATTCTCGACGCCCGTTGAAGAGTTGATTGTGGTGGAGAAGAGACAGAATGCTATCGTTTATGTGGCAAAGACGGCCAAGGTAAGAAGGTCTTACAGTAAGATTGGAAGATTCTGGTGCTGAAAATTACGGTTTTCAATCTGGAAACGGGGAATTTGCAGGATGAATATAGCTGAAAATCTATTTTTTCTAGTCGAAAATTGTCAATTTAAGCCGTTGTAAAATGAGCATTTTCAGCCCAAAAAATGGTCTAATTTCGTCTAGAAAATCGCTATTCTCAGCCTAAAAAATGGCTAATTTCGGCCTCGAAAAATAGTTATTTTCAGCCATAAAAATTCATTTTTAGCTGAGAATTGATCGAATTTCGTCCTGAAAACACCGCTATTCTTATTGTTAGCCTTAAAACTCAAATTTCAGCCAAAAAATGGTTATTTTTAGCTTGAAATCGACCAAATTTAGAACTGAAAAGACCGATTTTTGGTCTTAAAATTGACCATATTTCGTCACGAAAAACCCGCTATTTTTAGCCCGAAAATTCATATTTTCAGCTTAAAATTGACCGATTTTTGTTCTGAAAATCGCTATTTTCAGCCAAAAATTTCCAGCCATTTCGACTTAAATTTGACCATTTTCGGTCTAAAAACGGATTTCTAGAGCATTCTAGAGTCTAGAAATGAGAGACTACAAACTACAAACTACAATTTCTTCCAGGGAATCCTATGCAATCGGCCGAGAAAAATCAAGCAAAGCGGAAAATCCAACGGCGCCGTCACCGACCTAAAAACGCCATTCAGCCAGCTGGCTCGTCAGAATTCCACGACGACGACTCCAAAGTCCACGTCATCTTCTGGAGACCAACAATTCGTTCGTCAGCCACGCCCCGAAGCGGCCCGCCTGTTCGCTGGACCCGTCTATCAGCTGCCACCAATCTCATTCATCGCCCCGTTGTTCATTGAGAAGTCCCTGCTTCCACCACCTGTTAGATCATAGAGAGATGGTTCTGGAATGGTCTAGAAGGCTCTAGGACTCTCTATAATTGTTTTGCCTGTTTTTTTTGTTGTTAATTTTCCAAAATTTCAAAAATCTCGTTGTTATCCTGAAATGCTCCAGAATGTTCCAGAAATTTCCCCTTTTTTTTTGAGATACCAATATTTTCGCCACTATCCTGAGTGCTTCAGAATGCTCTGGAATGTTCTAGAATGCTCCGGAATGCTCCAGACTGTTCCAAAAGGCTCTAGAATCTTTTAGAGACTTGTAGAGATTTCTGAAATCTTGAAGACGCTTCTAGAACGTCCTAAAGCATTCAGAGCTCCAGGATGCTCCAGAATCTTTCTAGACACTTCTAGAATCTTGAATTTCTTGAAGTTCATATCCCTAGAGATGCTCCATGAGCTTCTAGAAGTCTCCAGAATGTTCCAGTATGTTCTAGAATGCTCCAGAATGAGCCAGAATGCTCTAGAATGCTCCAACATATTCCAGAAGCTTCTAGAACATCTTAGAAGCATACATTTTTGAAAATCCGCCAAATCGATGTCTCGAAAGGTCCCAGAAGCTTCTAGAATTCTCTAGAACGTTCTAAAGCGTTTCTGAATCCATTTTTTTTGTCTAGGAGCTTCTAGAAAATTCTGAATCATCATGTTTTTGTTGTTATTGTTTCTCCCTCTTTGTTTTACTTTTTTCATTTTTCCCCCTCCCCACATACACACATTGTTATGCGTATGCTTTTTTCCTTTCCCCCCTCCCTACCGTACCCCTCCTCCCTCAATTGTTGTTGATTTTTTTCTCCCTTTTTTCATTTTTCTTTTGATCTGATCTGAACAGTTTTTGTTTCTATTTTCTGATGTTTTCATCCAATTTCAGAAATTTCGAAAAGCTCAGAAATTCGGGACATCTGAAAATCTGGAGATTCCAATAAAATGGGAACCCGAGATTCCTGGAAAATTTAATAAAAAACATATAAGAATTTTTCGGATTTTCGAAACATCGAAATTCGGAAATTCTGAGAATTTGAAAATTCAGGAATTTTGAAATTCGGATATTCAAAAATCAGGAAGTCCAGGAATTCAGAAATTTAGAAACTTTGAAATTCAGAAATTGAAGAATTCCAGAAATTCAGAAAGACAGAAAAGCAGAAATTCAGAAATTCAAAAAATTAAAAATTCAGGAATTCAAAAATTCAGAAATTGAAGAATTCCAGAAATTCAGAAAGACAGAAATTCAGACATTCAGAATTTCTGAAATTCAGAAATTCCGAAATTCAGAAATTCCGAAATTCAGAAATTCAAAAGTTCGAAAAATTAGAAATTTCAGATTTTTTGAAATTCAAAAATGCTGAAATTGAGAAATCCAAAATTGGGAAACTCAGAAATTCGGGGAAATTTTGGTACTTGAAAAATTTGAAATTCAGAATACCTGAAAGCAAATATTGAATTTTTGAAAAACCCTGAAATTTTAACGATGCGATTCATAGTTTTCAGAAATCCAAAGAGTTTTTCAGAAACGTCTGAAATTCAGGACTTCCGAAAAAAGTCAGAATCTCTGAAAAAAAAATAAAAATGATTATTTCGTTTTTTCAAATCTCAAAAAAAAAACGTATGCAATAGTTTCGAGTTTTAGCTTTTTCAGAGACTTTCCGAGACTCAAAAATATGAAAATTTGAAATTCGAAAAATTTCAAATCCGTCCGACTTCCCCTGCTCCCTATCTGACTCTTTTCCATACTTGTAATTCGGGCCTTCGCGGGCCCTGCCATAACTTCTTTCAAAATCGATATTTTCAAACCAACTAAATCAGGTATGATAGAGCTCTACGAGTACTACAAAACGGTATTATTTGGAATACTGTATCTTGTCTATGAACAGAGTTACGGAGCAAAAGGAACAAAAAAAACAGGCCGGGCACTGCGAGAAAAGCGACTTTACAACCTGTAACTTTGTTCATAGACAAGATACAGTATTCCAAATACCGTAATAGAACGACACCCGGATCGTCCACTTTGAGCCTATATATCTCACTTCTTTTGAAAGATATCAAAAAGTGTTAACTAGTAAAATGTTTATCAGGGGGATCCTCTAGAGTCGACCTGCAGGCATGCA